CAAAATGGTTTTTAATTTCCATATTGTGAGGTAATGCTAATATCAATCCAAATTTTATAATTTATTTCAAGCACCTAATTATTTTATTTTTGTACAGTCGGGAAAACAATAATCACTTCGAAATTAGTACTAAGGACCCAGAGTATGTGCGAAAGATTTTATGGTTCTTATCTTTCAGTTCTAATCCAGGTAAAAGCCGGGTTATTGTAATGTGCCAGATGGCTGGAACAGAAACTGTAAACTATCTAAAAAACAATAAAAAATAGTGACTTCATATCCTAATATGCCTATGATCAAATTGGTTACATACATGACGAGTTTGAACCTGAGATTAGTCGTCTTTGGTCACAATATGATACACCGATCTACTAAAAATTATGTATTCTAAAATGTGACCGCTTGGCTACATTACCATCAAGTGTAAAATCTATCGTCTTTGAAGTCGCCTATAGTATATAGTAGTCTGAATTACAACATAATCCAGTGCTTCACAAAAGACCATTGTCTAATAGCCTCTGACTTCTCGGGAAACCCCGCAATCGACCTGCAACTAACACATGCAAGCAGGCGATGCTTCTCTTAACGCCATGCTGCCTAATAGTGATTACTAAAATTTTATAAACAGCTCCAGAGATTCAAGGCCGACACAACCTATTTCGTTTTGATGACGTCATCGCCTCTAACACATGGTACAGTATAGCGTAGTATTAGGAAAAATCAGTTCCAGATAATTGCTGGTATACATTTCAAGAAGTACAGCATACCCATTATAAACTACAGACCATATATACGAACGTTCAAGCCATTTCTTGGTAGACTTTGTGAAACTTGGTGATGAAGCTAGCGGTCGAACGACACACTAACTTCTAGGTTCATTATTAGCAGAAAACCTTTGAACCAGAGTGTATTTGCTCACAAAGGATCAAATAACAAAGATTTTAGCGACTGAGAGATGGCTGAGATCTATAATGACAACCTCATCGACCAATTAAACCAAGTGACTACAAGTCAGAATACTACTCAAGCCTAGTACTTGCTGAATATCCAACTTATTCCTGACTTAGAATCACGAAGACTGAAACCCTTGAGCTCAGGTAAGTCATCAGGGTGCGACAATATTCGCCTTGTAATCCTGAAGTAGTGTGCATCAGCAACCAAATCACCAGTATGTAACCTGTTCATGCATTGAATGTAATCAACAGATATTATGCTGAATGTTGTTTGAAAAGATACTTTCTCTCGGATCTTCAAAGGAGGAGATTGGGATAATTCAGCTTGTTAAAGACCAGTCTCATTATTGTCAATACTGTCAAAAGTGATGCGAGACCTGATACGACTCAACATCGAGGGTTTCACAAAGGACAATCTTAGGTCCACTCCTCTTCCTGATACTTGTTGATGACCTGTTAGATACGACTAGCTCAGTGGCATCGATCTACGCAGACGATGCAAAGATCTGGAGGTTCATAAGAAGCGTAGAGGATTCAACTGAGCTTCAAGAGGACCTGATATCGACTGAGGAATGGGCAGTGAAAAACAGTTTAAGGCGAAACCAGTTGAAGTGTCACGTTATGAACATTTTGCTCCACAAGTGACAAAAAGCTTACGTTCTCGGTGGAAGTCCGCCCCCCAGTATTTCCTGAGACCACGAGCTCGGTCTAATAAATACAGAAATCCTGAACACCAGCTCGAGGTACACAGAGATGTAACGACGGTAAATGCAACTGTTCATTTTATGCGAAGACAACTTGGTGCAATCACCCTACAGTTGTTCATAACTCTCTTTAAAACACACGCACGGCTACACCTTGAAGTTCACAACGTCATCGCACTTGTTCTCCTCAAAAGTGACCTAAGTCTCCAGGATCAAGTACAGAGGCAAGTAACTGAATTGAGGATAGGGTTGGAGAATAAAACTTACGAAGCTGGACTTCAGAACTCAGGATTATTCTATTTGAGTTACACGAGGATCAGAGGTGAACAAGATATTAAGCACACCAAATCATCCCAAGATGAGCATCTTTCTGGAGCATCACCACCACAGGGCTCTAGGTAATCCTTGAAAAATTGCGCATCAAAGAGTGAACATTCAGGTTCGTGCATAATCTTTTCTCATTAAGAGTTGTCGAGTGGTTAGACTACCATACATCCATATACCTGAACCGTGTCGAAAGAACAAGAATCGAGTGATAAGAAACCAATAGTCTTATACTAGCTAGTGAAAAAGATTTTATATATTGGATATTGAATTTATTTGGTGTATTTTAGCTAGTGTGATCAATATTGGATATTGGTAGGTATTGTTTACTGTAGAGAGGTAATTATAATCTGGCGTATCTTTTATCGTACTTCACTGTTAGCTGATGTAATTTTCACTGTACATTCAAGAACAGTCTACTTGAAGTTGAAAACTTAAAAGAGATAGCAACAGCTGCGTCGTGTTTGCCCATAAGACATAAGCCTTACCTAAGTCATCGTTATTACGATGATAAACCAAGCTCTCAACTTCCAAAAATATCGGGTCTATCTGCAAAGTCATTTAGAAATTCTTAGTTCTCCCCAGTGTCTGACAACATTTCTGGGAAAATTCTTAAAAGTATCGTAGCTCGGATTATTATTTTGTAAACATTTTGATTTTATGAGACTACTAAGCAATCCAAAATAGGGAAATGCCTACTTTTTTCGAATTAATTTTCTTCTAATTTCGGAGTATACAAATTGAAGGAATTCCTATCTATCAAACTGTAAATGGTAATAGACGAATTTGAAGAAGCTTTCACCTAACAGACTTATGTATCTTGTAATAGTTAATCATCAGTGTCTCAAGAGTAGGGTCTAAATGTATTACACAAACCATCGTTCGCTAGGCCATTCGAATCTACCGAGCGGAAAACTTTTATTTTTATTCTCTGAAGGGAGGGTGCATGATGGAATAAGCTTGTACGATTGGAGACAGATTTGTTGACTAGTTTAATTTGGTACTGAAGCCTATCTTCACTTACTTCCTGAGGTTTTATGGCGTGAATAATAAGCAGGGGGGTCGTTCGGTATTTAGGATCCCACTAGTAGCAGTTTGACTACTTAGCAAAGAAGGCTGATACAACGAACCTTCAAGCTGCCTGCATATCTGACTTCTTCCAATGTTGTCGTAAGTTCTAGAGTCTTCAACAGTCTGCATAACTACTTGTTACCCACAGACTTTTTTTCATCCCAACAACATGGTTTCAAGAGGGGTTACTCCTACACTACCGGTTTGTAGACCGCGGTGGACAGCCATCTTGGATCTCGACGGGAACGTAAGTGTTAAGTGTCTCGACTTTCTAAAAGATTTTGGTAGAGTCAGTCATGCATGCTTCATCAATCATATCAAGCTTTCAGGTATAAGGGGTACCCTTAATAGATTGGTTACAACATCTATAACCGAAACTTAAGGGTTAGAACAAAGTTTACTTTCCCCCCAGGCTACAAAATATCCTAGTGAGCTCCACCAGACTCCACTACTAGAGCCTCTCTTCTCTTTAATTTGCAGAAGTGACCTTCCACTACAAGTGTCGTCTGAATTATTTCTTCTTGCTATCGATGTGAGACTGAAAGGGAATCCGCAACCATGATTATAAGCAGGCACTTCAGCGGCATCTGACTCAACCTCAAAGTTACTTGCGTTTAACTCGTATTTAACACTTAGAAGTGCAAAGCAGTCCGCTCTAGATGTGTCTCAAATAGAAAAAGATCTGCGAGTGATGGTACCCTATGATCTGAAATCCCACCTGGAGACTTCACTGATCCAGTTGTAAAATGCGGAAGTCGTGGTTTCATATCACTCATTAATTCACTTAACTTTCATGTAGGAAAGGAGCTTTATGTACCTTGATGTCACAATCATTTGAAGTGATGTTAATCAGAATTAGTAACCACTACTAGTAACTCACGCTCATCAAATATTAGAAAACGTAGGACGCAACTAAATTATAGCTAATATGTTTTGATGGCTTCTTAAATAATAAATGCTCAAAAATGTTCCAATGGGCTCCAAGCAAAATTGTAAGCACTAGTAAGTCGAAAAGATATTGAAAAAAGCATGCTCACAACAGATAACTACAATGGTTAACGAAATATTTTAAAAATCTGTCCAAAAGGACTGCGACTTCACTGCAGTTGCTAATTGACTACAATTGCTTGCTGCTAACATCTTAGTTGAAAGCTATATTTAAGAATATATCCACTTTAGTTTAAGCATGGTAACAGTTGTAGGTTAATTTATGCCTACTTGTGCAGTAACCTACCAGTAGCTTTCACATTAATGATTTTAAATTATCTGTGATATCATTCAGATAATGTTTTATCGGTCTACATCTTATAAAAGTCTGCTCTGTTTCAGGTTCCTGTCATTATCGGGACAAAACTCTAACCTCAATATATTTAATAACTACTAAACATGGAACCGAAAGAACAATCTGTTTGAACTTTCGAACGAACGCTGAAGATTCAGCTTTTGATTTTTATATTTCCGGAGTTCTTCAAATTTCAAGATATAAAAACTATAGTCACAAAGTTACAACCTCTACCTCATGTTGAGTAAAGGTTATACGACCAATATTCTCTTTGCCATTGAAAAAAGTTGTTTCTTTCCATTGAGAAAATATACTAGTGAACAAATACCTTCATCCATATATTGCAGACTTATTAAAGAAGAAAAACTTAAACATGACGATTTTCAATTTTCAGTTGTCAAACAACTTGATGAACTTTGTCGCGAATTAAACTCATACTATAATAAGCGTAAACTGTTATCAGTAAGTTTATCTATTTATACACGTAATGTTTGATAGGTGTTTAATAGTAGGAATACTCCTAAAGGTATTTATCTTTATGGTTCGGTAGGTTAGTTTGTATTGAAGAGAAGTAAAAATTTCTAAGGTTGTGGGAAAACTATGTTAATGGACATATTTTATGAGTGCTGCAATCTCAAACACAAGTGGAGAACTCACTTTCATTCATTTATGTTCGAGGTACACGAAAGTAAGTTATGATGCTGCCTAATGTTTTAAAACTTTCCATCACTTTTTTTGTTGATAGTAATAATACGCTATTTAAGAATAAAAGCATATTTTTGCAGGTAATAATCGTTTACAATATCACTACTAAACATTGAGTTTTTACTTCAAGATAACATTTTCAAAGTCTTGTATTCCTTTGCTTCTATCAACTTTACTATGTTCACTTATTCATTTGAAAATAACAAACTGACAAAATGACATCTTCAATAGTACTAGTTTCCAAGAATTGATTGTTTGTTAATTGATGAAACTGATTGAAGTTCAGTTACAACAAAGAACTTCGTACGTTCGTACACATCACATTTGCACAGAGACGCGATTTTCAGTTCAAATACCGTAGTGCTAGAGATAGTAGAAGCATTAGAGGTAATAGAGAAGATCGGGGTCCAAAGAAATTATTCAAGAAGTATGATTCAGTGAGATAAATGTCGAAAGAGAAAGATAGAGCTGATGAGGAATTCAGAAGATTAGAATTTCAGAGTTGATGCGCCTGCGCCACTGCGAACCATTTTGTGCCATGTCATTCAAGGTCTCTAAATACCTCTCCATTCTTGTCTAACTTTGTCGTAGACATGCTTTTACAGTTAACATTATCCTCGTTTTACTTTTCAGGGGTGGAACTTCCACCAGGAGACACGCTTGCTGACTTAGAGCATGCTGATGGCATAGTCCCATTGGGTGAAGACGCTAACAAAATGCAGGGTCTCCTGGACACCCTAAGCAACAATGCAAGTATGTTCGGGATGCGGTTTTCCCCCTCAAAATGCAAAATGTTGCTTCAAGATTGGCTTGCGTCGGCACCCGAACTTGTGATAAGGAGTGAAGTAGTCGAGCATGTAGACCGCTTCACGTATCTCAAAAGTCTTGTCATTGCTGATGGCCTGGTGATTGACGAAATCTTAGCAATGATACAGAAAACTCGACTGTCTTTCGCCAACTTGCGCCACTTATGGCGTAGGCGAGATATCCGCTTGCTAACTAAAGGACGAGTGTACTGCGTAGCAGTTCTCTGTATCCTGCTATATGGGTATGAAACATGGCCGGTAAGAGTAAAAGACATTTGTAGATTATTAGTATAGATGTCTTCAAAGCATTGCTCGTATATCGTGGGACAACCGAGTAATCAATGCTATTATAGTTTGGAAACGAGTTCTAGGTAAGGATGGCAGATCAATAGACGATTAATAGATGACCCGACCGTAGCTGTTACCTTGACGTGGTGGTCGGGCTTGCCTGTCGTGATGACCCAACCGAGCTATATTGGCTGGAACATGTGTTCCTGAAGGTCCTACCATGCCAGGCAGGTCGATTGTAGAGCGATGAGACTAAAAGCAGCTACCCAAGGTCTGAGGACGAAGTCGTACTGCTGACTGCAGAGGGGTGTGACAGCAATAAGGTGTTTCTCTCGGACAACCAGCATCTGCAGCGATGTTGCCTTCTGACAAGGAAGGAAGGGTTAGAAAAGGTCGACCCTAAAAATGTCACACCTCACCTTAGCTCACAGATTTCCGTCTCCGACAGTAAGGGCTGTCCATTAAGGGCTTTAAAAGAGCGGAGCTAATTCTCAAAAAGCCTTCCATAAAAAGGCCGTGCGTGACCGGCCTCAAGCAGTTATCGCTTGGACTCTGCTTTCATGCTTCCAGGTCTCTAAGACCAACACTAATCTATCTTCCTTTTCAGGTTCCTCAAGAAACAACCTTCCACGGTGTGGGCAGCCGGGAAATAACAACCACCCTCGTACCCGTAACAGCACACAAGACCAAATTGGTCACAAACGAATCCTTCCTAATAAAGTATCGTTAAGGAGCGTGGTAAACTTGAGACATTACACATCTATCAAACATTCTTAGTGTAGGAGTTAGTGAAATTGATGCAGCAAAGTAATAATTTAGAGTAGTTAAAGTAACTTACGTTTCAACCGTTAGGTGGTTGCAACTGTGAACTCTAGTTCGTCTATTTTATTTTGAACGACCGTATAGTATCGCTAGGCCTCACCTAATCCAAATAGGAATCAGAGCTAATTAAAAAATATTGTTTATTTTTAGTACGTGACCAAATTAAACAAGCACTTTAATAAAACCGGAACCAAATTGTGTAATATTTCATTAATTCATTAGTATTATACTGTTTATATATCACAAGTAAATGTTGTAATCTATCATATCTTTCCACTTTTTTCTTAAGAATTACACGCTGTTCGATCATCTGCTCCAAGAAACAAAAAATCATTTGATCCAATTCCTCCAGTAGCACAAAGTATTATTAATGAATACAAATTATTATGCTTCGATGAATTTCAGGTTTGTGTGTTTGTTTGTTTTATATTAAATTATAACTCATCCTATTTTCTCACCTAAATATGACTTGCTCCTGTCAAATCGTACTTCACATGTGTAGATGTACATCTAACCTGATTGGTTTTTTCCCGACTGTCATAGGATTATTCACCAAAAACGTCAAACAAAATAAAAGTGTCATCATTGCAATCAAAACTCATAGCTAACATATTAATGAAGAGTTATAGAAATGGTGTCATTGTTATAATGTGCGATGTCCTAGGTCTTGAACATGATGCACTCTAACCTCCTAAACTATGTAAGCAAGAAGGCAAGAGCAGAAGACAAAGTCTATTTGAATACCAAACAATATATATATATTTCTCATCTGACCACCTCTGATTGGCTCGTTCTGTATCAGTCTTGATAACGGCGCAATGAGCTACTTAGTTTTTATTTTATTTCTTCGGTTAGACAAATTATTATTAAATGAAATTATTTTATTCAAAGTTTTATGTTTTAACAATTTGAATTAGGTTACAGATATTGCCGATGCAATGATATTGAAACGATTATTTGAGAATTTATTTAATCTTGATGCTGTTGTTGTTGCCACATCGAATCGTTGTCCAGACGGTTAGTTAGTTAGTTATTGTTGTTGTTTCTTATTGTCATTTTAGATTGTCACACATAAAATTACATCATCATCAACAACAACAAAATGTCCGTATTCACTTGTTGTTGTTGTGTTATGCCTTGCCCAATCACAAATGTTTCAATGATACTTCTTTTATGTAAAATTAGGTCCTTACTCACTAAATAAATGACTGACCAATTCATCCACCACAACATTAACGTATTTATCGGTACAAAGAGAGGCACCTAAATATTTATATGCTACAATAAAATACTGAATTTCTGTTTATGTGTGTACCAGAGTACTGCATGAACGCACAAATTGAAGTAGATAGACTTCTTAGGCGGTTACTTCTTGACTCTTTGACCTACAGGTCTATTCCACAAGTCATTAGAGCAACCTTTGGAGATGCAATCCCATGATATCCATTTACCAACAATAGGTTCACGCTGTTTGTTCCTTCAGAATGCTGAAGCCCACGTGCAGCATTTGAAAAACCTCCTGATGAATCGTGCATACCCACCAACCTTTTTTCAACCCCTCTGAATATTCGATTTTTGACTTCGTTAGCTAATATCTCTTTTTGGAAAGGTAGGACTTAGCTGACAATGACTATGTACATGTGGTCAAATGGAAGCGTTTGGAGAGGGAGAGTGGACTCTCCTCATTCTCAAATGTACCAACGAACTTAATATTGTGAGAGTAAATTCAAAGTCAGTGAACTAAGCTTATCTTAAATCATTTTAATCATGAACTGTTTGCACGCGAAACCGAAGGTTCTAGGTTCAGTTCTCGCTAATGGAACCATGGATGTGCACTGTTAATGAGCTTCATAATAGGACGAAACGGCCGTCCAGTGCTTCCATGTTTCGAATGATGATTTAACATTGATCAACTCAAGATTTCAATAAAACTCGACAATCTCCACAACCCTATACTAGGACAGTCGTTTTAGGTCAGTGTGTTATTCCTAAGATTTAACTCCATAAATGTAGTCATTGTGAATTCAATGTCTCAATCAACTCATATATGTATGAGATACATTTTCCTAACTCAATAATCAGCGAATATTGAGTAAGTGGATTCTATTACACTTTCAACGTTGATTTATTCATATAATACAACTCTATATAGTTGTAATGATGAATTAATTAGTATTTGACTAGGCAACTAGATAATAATAATAATGGCTTTATTCATTATTATTTTTTTGGTACAGCATGCAAATTTTCAGTACTGAATATTTTAACCAGTTTCCTTTACAAAAGCAATCAATAACTGAAAACATCAGTCGGTCAGCCATAACGTTGAACTTCGTACGTATGTACATCAGTTGGAATTGCCACACCACTTCATAGTGGTAGATTTAGTAGGTTTATTAGCGGTAATCGGTAAGATTAGGGTTAGAAGGTATTATTCGAGAAGTATTATACAGTGAAATGAACTTAAAAAGAGAAAGAGGGTGAAGAATTCAGAAGATTGGAATTTGTGAAGAGACAAAGAATGGATGCACCTGCGCTATTACAAACGATTTTGATCCATGCCATTCAAAGTCTCTAAATATCGGTTACTGTTGCCTGGCAGTCTGCACCTACTAACATGATCCAGTCCAGCTGTCGGTGACTTCATGGATTTGTGCCCCTAGCTTTCTTCCAACTTACTGCCTCGTCGCTGATCGAGGCAGTCGGTGGTTGGACATGACATGTCCCAACCATCTCAAGTGATGAAGTTTCACTACTTCATCTATTGTTTTTCTGTCCTTACCAATTACCCGTTTTCTAACTCCAGCATCGCCTACTCGGTGGTCCCAAGATATGCATGCAATTCTTCGAAGACACTTATGATGGAATACGAGTTACTGGCGAATATCCTCAACTCTTACTGACCATGTTTCACACCCATATGGTAGGACAGAGCGAACGCATGCGTAGTAGACTCGTACTTTGGTTAGTAGACGGATACCCCGCCTACGCCATAAATGATGCAAGTTGGCAAAAGCCAGTCGAGCTTCCTGTATCCGTGCTGAGATTTAGTCAGTCAACAGGCCGTCAGCACTAATGAGACAAGATAAGTGAAGCGGTCGACACGCCCAATTACTTCACTCCTTATCACAAGTTCAGGTGCCGACGCAAGCCAATCTCGAAGCAACATTTTGCTTTTCGTGGGTGAAAACTGCATCCCGAACATACTTGCATTGTTGCTTATGGTGTCCAGAATACCCTACATTTTGTCGGCTTCTTCACCGAATAGAACTATGTCATCGGCGTATTTTAAGTCAACAAGTAAATCTCCTGGTAAAAATTCAACTCTTAAAAATTAAAGATTTCAATTGTGATAATTAGAACAACACATATAAGCGATCGATATTGTTTTCAATTAGACTGTCATTAGGCTTTGCTCTAATATATATGAATATTTATATGAAAATGTTAAACCACTCATGGCAATGCGAGTCAGTAATCACAAAGAAATAGAATACATCACTGTAGGTAAAAGTACAAGTTGATAGTAGGAAGACAGATGTACTGATAGCAGTAAGAATAATAAAATACGATAACAAAAGTTTTATTAATTGTTCAATATTGGAAATAGTAGGTCAAACGTTTATAAATAGACTTAAAATAATCATTACAAAACATGAAAGCCACAAGCAGTGTGTAAATAATTAGATAGTGAAGAGGCAGAAAATAACAAACAAATACAAGATGTGAAAATAATGCTAATAATAGTAAGAATAAAATAAAAATATTTTGAAGCTTAGAAAAGTTTCTGCAAAACTCATCTTTTATCTCGTTTGAGCTGCAGTCAATCGGAGCGTAGGCAACGAGTCCTTACTGTTTCGTTTATTCGGACAGTGAACAAGCGCCTATCTACTGGGATCCAGTCTAGGAGAGCTAGTTCTGCCCTAATACCTACACCAGCAAGGCCATGGTCAACAGCACCTGGGCTCCCAGACATACGAGGGGTAAATCTTGACGGTTGTTTATTTTGACATGTGAGGTCAAATAAAGGACTAATCGGATCATGAATGCGCGTTTTGGAGACGTGGCATACATCGATGGAACAAGATTCCAGAGTCCTAGCCAAGAAAGCCTGTTGCCCTATTTGGCACAAGATCCAGACATTAAATGCTCTGACATGTTGTTTGGAGCATGGCTTCAGGATAACAGGAATAATGTTTCATGTGCTCGAAATGTTTGCATCAGTGGCTCAGAAGCATAATGGAACGTAAGAAGGGTTAATCACAGAGATTAAGGAGATGTTAAGAGGTGTTGGCAGGATTTGATTGTGACCAGTTTGATCTCTTGTGCTGTTACAAGTGTAAGGGCGTATATCACTTCCTAGTAACCCACACGTTGGAAGTGTATTTCTTGAAGTACCAGAAAAGAAACGTAGATTAGCATCGGTCTTATAGATCTGGGAGCGTGACCTCAAAGCCCGAAGGACAACTGCTTGAGGCCGGTCACGCACGGGCTTGTTATGGGATGTTTTCAAAGTGTTGGCTCCTCTCTTCAAATAGCCATACCGCCGGTGACGTTAAGGTGTGACATTTTTAGGGTTGATCTTTTCTAACCCTTTCCTTGTGAGAAGACGGTATCGCTGCAAATGCTGGTTATCCAACGGAAATACGTCACGGTAGCAGCTGCGGTTGGGAACTGGGTATATATATTTATATATATATATATAATAAATAATCTATTGGGAATTTAGATGAAATGTTTTTCTCCATAAAATTGTAATCCACACAACGTTTTAATTCGAAACAGTTTTCGGAATATAAGTTTTGGACTAGGTCAGCTCGCACTACTTGTTCATCGTATAATAAGTATGTATGCTAAATAAAAAATGTATTGTAGAGTTTAGTCATAAACAGTGTCAATAGATGAATGTTCTGGTCGCTGATCAGTTGCTGAAACGCTAAAAAAAGATATTATTATTTCTGGCAATCCATTTTTTGGTGATGTTGAAAAGGAAAAATTATAAAACAGGTAACAGACTACAACTAGAGGAATACAACGACTACTGAAGTTGATAGTTCTGCTCTTCTCAAACATTATTGATAATTTCATCTTTGTTTATTATGAAATGTGTAGCAATGGTTATGAATGTGTTCAGATTTTTCTACTGGTTATTGTCAGCATAACGAAAAAAATGAGGATTTTTCAACTCATACCTACATCTTAACTATGTGTTTTCTCGTTTTAGATCTATACAAGAATGGGTTACAACGTGCCAACTTTGTACCTTTTATTGGTCTACTTAAAGTAAGTTGTATTATACGTACATACATGCATACACTGACTGAAAAATTATATTCTTTAGAAAAAAAACTGTTCAATGGTACTTGATTTATATTTGTCTACTTTTGAATTTATACAAAGTTGCACCGAAAAATATTTCAAGTCTCATGAATGTTCACTTGTTTAGGCGTGAACTCATCTCTAAGTGAGCTAATATCAAATGACTGTACAGCAAAACTGACCACAGTATACAAATGTTGTATCCCTCACCGTTGACCAATTCCACGTGACAAATGCAAAACACAAATCAGAATTACATCTTAGCACCAGATACCTCGAGTCCGCTCTGAGTTCTCATTGGTTCACAACTCCTATCCTGCCTCTTAGTTAAGAAGTCCGTAAATCAGCCTCCACAAAATTCCTTATATTTCAAACAAACATAGTTTATAAACCAAACATACCAGACCATATCATACCGTATAATGAAAAAAATACATTTATACACAAGCGAGCCAAAAGTGTCCGTGAATAATAAACTGGCGTAATAATCCATAAGCTAGTTGTTGTTTATGAAATTGAGAAAAAGCAACACGACTGTCCAGAGGAACTGAAACCGAGTTAGTGGATATGGAGAATCCGTTAAGAAGGGAGTTGAAAAATCCTGACTCCAAGTCACTGGCGCACATGGACTCCAGAAGCCGGCTGAAACAAATGGCATATTAACCTACTGTTAGTCACCGGCTACCATGGACCTTCAGCTCTTAACGTTGCTACACTGTCTTGTAGTTTTCGAAAACACTGTTTTTAGCCAGCATATCACAGTACCTGGCTAGTATCATTCTTTTTTTGATTAATTTATCCTAGCTCTCTTGATTGTTTTGTTGCAAAAACTTCTGTTTGAAATCAGAACTTTTAAACTGACGTCGACAGATGAATTCATGTGACTAGTTTATGACTTTGGTTCAACCGTCATTGTAACCACTTTTTTAAAGTATGTTAAAAATTAATTAGCTACTGAATTTTCTTTCAACATTTATTTGATATAACAATACAAAATGTGATTGAAAGCAAATTAAATAAACTTATCCCAGTTTATTTTTCTGTTCAAAGGAAAAATGTCATATAATCAATTTGGATTCCGGTGTAGATTACCGTACAAAAACCAGTGAAACTCCAATGAATGAATCAAATCTTCCCCTGTATCATTTAAAGTAGGTTCATTGAAAAGAAAAGAACAATTAATAATATTATGATAACATATGTATTTATTTGTAGTTACTTCAGCACTAAGTCTCAACTTATACAAGGTAAAAAGCAAGATCCTCCGATACAACACAACATGCACCAACCAAATCACAATCGACGGATGAGCTTTGGAGGATGTAGAAACATTGATATATCTGAGCAGCATAACTGATAAGCAAGATGAATATGATGCAGATGTGAAGGCGCAGATCGACAGAGCAAGCGCAGCATTTCTACAATTGAAGAACATTCGGAACTTGGAACAACTACCGACAAACACCAAAGTCACAATATTCAATACAAACTTCAAGACAGTTCTACTTGGAGAACCTTAAAAGCCATCTTTCATGAAACACAAGTGCTTATTAACAGTAGTTTACGCAAGAAACTGAGGATCTGTTGGACAGGCACCATCAGCAACAACCTACTGTAAGAGACAACAGACCAAAATTTCAGCAGACGATGAAGCGCTGGAGGTGGATAGGATACATTGTGGAAATCATACAACTGCCTCACAAGGCAAGCCCTCACTTGGAATCCTCAAGGCTAAAGCAAAAGAGAAAGAACACAACGCCGGGTATTGAAAGTAGGCATGATAAGAACGAACACCGATTGGATAGAACTGTAAAAGAACACCCGAGCAGAGTCGGTTGGAGAATGCTGGTCGGCAGCCGATACTCCCCCAGGAGCGACAGGCGTAAGTAAGTAATGTGTATTTATGGTTAGTCAATCATAGGGGATATAAAACTAAGTTATTACACTTTATATATCAGTACTGCATACAAGAAAAGTAATAGAATAAAAACGGGATAAAAAATAAATAGTATTAGTTGTTGTGAAAAGTTAAAAAACTTGCTTATGATTTCTTTGGGCGAAGTTTTATTCATTCCTTTCATGCGGAAGTGCTTTGCTAATCAAACTGTAAGGACGTATAACTAACATCTGGCGATCAAACAGGTTTCAGTGTACATGGGAGGTCTAACTAGAGGATCATCAAGAAACAAACGGTGTGCGAACCTATTCTATTAATCGACAATAGGATTGCACCTCATGATGATGATCCAGTTAGTCAGCAACAACGTAGAAGTTCGTACGTACGCACAATAGTTCGAATAGCCATACCACATTAGCACAGAGACGCAATTGTCAATTCAAATCCCATTGTGGTAGATGTGGCAGAAGTAGTAGCTGTAATGGAGAAAGCTAGGGTTCGAAGATGTTTTTCAAGAAGTATAATCTTGTTAAATAAATTTAAAAGCGAAAGATGAAAGTGATGAAGAATTCAGATTAAAATTTGAGGGAGCACCTGCACCATTGCAAACGAATTTTAGCCATGCCACACAAAGTCTCTAACCACCGGTTACTGTTGCCTGGCAGTCTGCACCTACTAACACGATCCAGTCCAGCTGTTAATGACTTCACGGATTTGTACCATGGCCGCCTCTAGCTTTCTTCCAGCCCACCCCTACATCACAAAACATCGATCGTTGTGACAGTCGGTGGTTAGGCATTCGTAATACATGTCCCAACCACCTCAACTGATGAAGTTTCACTACTTTATCTATTGATTTGCTGTCCTTACCAATTACCCGTTTTCTAACTCCAGCATCGCTTACTCGTTTGTTCCACAATATACGATCAATGGTTCTAAGACATGATGCTAACCCACAGATTTATAAATTAACCCTTCAGTTCTAAGACCTAGGAAGTGGCTCATGTAGGTCGTCTAATTTAATCTGGATATGCGAGCCTACTTACAAATATGATACTTATGGAAATAATGTTTTATTGTCCTCGTCTCATTACCCATACTTTGAAAAAAACTAGTAAAATGGAAATCTAAACAGTAAATGCAATTTTTCCAGTTCAACCGATTTTAAATTGTGTCATCCAACGTTCCCAACTCATGGTTGCGTCTGTCCTACCGAATTCTAACGGTAAAACTTATTTATTTGATATATTCTAACATCGTTCAAACTAAAAGTTAATAAATTCAATGCGTGATGCCATATTATTACTTTGACTACCTGTAGTTTAACTCTAACCTAATTCTGTACAAATTAGCATTACATGTCCTTGTGAATGATTGTTAGTCAGGTGCCAAACATATTCTAATCTTTATTATAGGGTCGTGGAGATTTTTGAGTCACTTTGAATATAGAAATCGATCAATGTGGTGTGGGACTCATTGGCAGTGGTTATTCACGACTCCCGCCGCTCGCAGGAGTCGAACCCAGGACCTTCGGTCTTGCGCGAGAACGCTTAGTCTTTGGACCATTGAGCCGGTTTCCAACTGTGTTAACGTCTGATGGTCTTGCGCAACCTCATCCACTGTTTTCGGTGAGCATTGCTTCACATCCGAACATGGTTGAACTCCACCGATCACAACTACTCACTAGGACTCGGATAAACTTCCTCACAAGAGTTAGTCACTCTACTCTAACCTGTTAAATTGATGAAATCAATAATTACCTGATCTATCGATATAATAAGTTTAATGCAGTGTGATTTCATTACATTATTTCGTTTGAAAATGTTTTACTTCTATTTATATTATTCCTTTTAATTTTTCTCTCTTCTAAAAACAATATTCTACTAGTAATAATGATGTAAATAATCAACTTGATGAATGGTTTGTAAAATTAGCTGTTGAAGATGGACATGGTAAGTGGGTGTTAAAGAAAAAATAGTTTGATTTAATCTAATATGCAATAAAATTAATACTATCAAATAGATCATTTAAATGTAGTTGTTAATGTCACTTTTTTCAACAGTTTTTAGCATAGTGTAGTATTATTAACAGCTATATTTGGTATTGTAAGTGTACTACAATATGGAATTTCCATCACAAATTGTATTTCATTCATTGTAAATAGTTTTCGTATCGATCAGTTTCCATAATCTTCTATAACCAGATAAGTACACGTACTTCCTTTCTATATGTTGTTGCTAGATTCTAACATAAAACTACCCAATTCTTGATTAATTTAGATTGTTTCTTCTCTAAAGCACCGGTGAATCGTTATATGTTTGGATCTTATGCATTTAGATACATAATTATTAGTACAAAGGAGCTCCTAAGTAATTCATTAAATCTGTGTTTGTGTGCGGGCTGGGATAGATAGACTTCTTAGGGGGTTACTTCTTGACTCTTTGACCTACAGGTCTATTCCACAAGTCATTAGCGCAACCTTAGGAGATGCAATCCCATGATATCCATTTACCAACATTAGGTTCACGCTGTTTGTTCCTTCAGAATGCTGTAGCCCACGTGCACCATTTGTTTGAAATTGGAGTTTTAAAACCTCTTGATAAATCGTGCATACCCACCAACCTTTATTCAACCCCTCTGGATATTCGCTCTTTGACTTCGTTAGCTAATATCTCTTTTTGGAAAGGTAGGACTTGGCTGACAATGGCTATGATATGTACTCGTAATCATATGAGAGCGTTGTGAGAGGTAGAGCGGACTTTCCTCACTCATTCGGAAATGGCGCCAAGTTTTCAATCTGACTGTGGGAAGAGAGGATTTCTTTCTACTTAGTGGTGAACTGAGTGGAAAATGAGATTCTGTCTTTAGTGCAACTCAGAATATAAAATTTTATATGTATGCCAATCAGGTCATTTGTAGCGCTTAGTAATAACCCAAAATCAATACCTTGGTGAACGTTTGATTTCGATGCTAAACATGGTTTCTAAAACGAGATATACTACGAGGCAAAAGTTGGACAAGTCCCTCATTATTGATAATCGCGGAAATTCCTTACAGTTTAACCCGGATATGTATGTAACAAATTTATCATCCGTTGAACTTTCTGTATATGAAAAAGAAGCTCTATCTCTCGGATTTAACTTTTCCATACCTCATGCCGAAACTCCTAACTTCTCGATTGACGCTCAGTTTGAAAATCTCTTTACTCAATTGAACCCTCTTGTCCCAATCACTTAAGATAATCAAAACTGGTTGAAGGCGAAATTGGTTAATATCGTTCACCAATTTCATGGTGCCAAAATAAGACACAGGAATATTTTAACATCCAAACATTTCTGTGCCTTAAGCGACCTCCGTAAAAGATCAGATATTGTAATTCTCAAACCTGACGAAGGATCTGGAGTAGTGGTAATGAATATATGTGATTACAAGGAGAAAATGTTATCCATCCTTAGTGATGAAAGAAAGTTTTTGACTTATGTTTCACTTAATAATGAGGTTAGAAAATTAGAATCGAGAGTTAACTCCAATCTAATAAAGCTACTTAACATGAATGTTATCAATAAAGATGAATTTAATATGTTAAAACCCACCGGTTCTGTACTACCGTACTTATATGGATTATCCAAAATTCATAAACCGAACAATCCACTGAGACCTATATTATCTAGGTGTGGCTCACCTACGCATAAGCTAGCCAAATGGTTAGCTAAATTACTTAGCCCAATTCATAATAAATTGTGTAAGTTTTCCCTGAAAGATACATTTGAACTGATAGGTGTTCTTGATGACATTAATATTAAAGAAAAGACTATGCATTCTTTTGATGTAAACTCCCTTTTTACCAATGTTACCCTAATGAAAACTGTTAACTTTCTTTGTGACTATATATTAAGTAATTTCCCCCTTTTTCCCATTCAGTTAAGTCTACTAAGAGAATTAATTTTATTATGTACTGAGAAAGTTCATTTCACGTTTGATGATGAACATCTCCAGCAAGTTGATGGCGTTGCTATGGATAGTCCTTTGGGACCTCTCTTAGCTGATGGCATATGCTGAAAATTTGTGGAATGAGCACATTAATAAGCTTACTGTCTATAGGAGATATATGGATGATATTTTAATTATATGTGATAAAGAACTTAACATCTCAGTTACTGGAAAACTTCAATAGTCTTCAGAATGACATTGTACTAACTCATGAACCAGAAAATAATAATCGATTGCCTTTTTTAGACATACTGTTGAGCCGAAGAAATAATGGAACTATAAAGCGGTCTGTTTATTGAAAGCCAACGTGGACTGGACAGTACCTAAATTTCAGCAGTTTTTGTCCACTGCAATATAAGCGAGGTTTGGTAAAATGCCTCTTCAATAGGGCACAAAGGATTTGCGCTACGGATATATTTGAAGACGATGCAAAATTCTTAACTGAAGCGTTGATTTCAAATGGCTATCCGCTAAAGTTCATCAATAGGCGTAGAAATCAGTTGAGATAAAAGCAAGTTTTTGATTCTGCTGAGAAGAAAAAGGTTTATATTACTTTACCATTCAGAGGTGAAGCAAATGGTATAATAATAAGACAGAGACTAAAAGCAGCCATAGAGAAAACATACAACGCTGCTAAACTGATTATCATTGAAAAGACCAAGTCCATGATTTCGCATATACCTAAACGTTGCTCGAATGATTACATCACATCCCATTGTATTTATCAATTTGCATGTTTGTGTGGACACACATACACAGGGAGGAGTAATCGGACTTTTCAATCAAGGGTTGTGGAACATGTACCTAAGTGGCTTCAAAATCAGTCAACGTCAGATGAGCCGATTAACGTTGGAAATAGAAAACCATGTCCATCGATCGCCAAACACATAATTGAGACAGGGCATAAGATTGACATCAAGACAGCCTTCAAAACATTGTATAGAAATGTTGAAGGACGAATTTTGAGGTTTATGGAGGCCTTGGTCATCGGAAAATTAACCCCCCCCCCCTTTATGTGTGCAGAAACCATTTGTCATAACCTTGAATTTATCTTGGTGATCTTTAAGCCTAGGGTAATGTGACAATTTTCCTACCCCTTCTTATTCTTTTCATATTACTTTAATTTTCTCTCCTTTATTTACAATTATCACCCTATGCCTATTTGAACTTTTATTTAATTGACCTTTTATTCATCTTCATATAAAATGCCTTGACAAGTAAATGTGTGACCAGACTGTTCGACATGTATAGTGCGCAAATACATCACATTATTTTTCAGATCAATTACGTCTTCTCACTGTTCTTTCAAAATTTATAAAAGGGACTAATTGTTCTAAACATGTTAGTTTCGCGGGAAACCAACTGCCTGAAGCTTCTTGGTCAAGCAAACGCACAAGATCACATTTCAACCTACTCTAGCGACCCATTTTAGAAGTCACGTTTTATGCTTCCTTTACTCCATTTAAAAATCACTATCGACTTCCTTGTGTGCGTACGAGATACTTGGGAAGTGTCCCTGTCCAATCTCGTTCGTACACTGGCGTGTGACCATCCTGTGTGGATTGCCTCGATATAACCACCATGTTACAAATTGATATGCAAAACAAGATTGATCGAATTTCAATCAAAAATATCAAAAGCATGATGATCTAAACTATTTTGAAATGAATTAAAGAGAGTGCAGTCTTATTAGGATAAAAAAAACTAATTAGATATTCCTGTCAGTATAATCCTTACCTCAAAATTATCCTGGTGGCCCGATTGTACTCGAGCCATACTTAATGAGCAAAGGAAGATTGTGATTGGTTATTTAATTACGGGGTTATTTACCTAACAGATTTATGGATAGTCAGATGTTTGAAGAGTCACATCTATTTTTATCGAACAATAAGCAGATGTAATTGATCTGAAAAATGTAATGTACTTGCGATATACATTTCGAACCATTTGATCACACATTTACTTGTTAAGGCATTTTATATACCATTGTTAACACGTGGTTAGGCTAATCACATGTTCCTGCTCTATGGTTTGTCGAAGTCTAATTGTAGAAAGAAACTATAGCAAAAATACCTTTGATAAAATCCTAATTACCTAAGAATATTCTTTCTTCTTTAAGGTCACTTGTCATGTGCAAAGTAAAGCAAGACAAACCTTATACTTATAGCATCTCACCATTTATTCTTTATACTCCAATGATTAGTCGTTTAAATTATTTGATAATAGTATCTATCGATCATAATTTTGTATTTGTAATAATTCGATCACAGTATCGATTATTGTAGGTTTGTTTGTGTGTGCATGCTTAATCGCCTATTATTGTTTGACTACAAATACCTATAGTCACGGAGAGTTGGCTCATTCACCTTCTCCAATTCGCCTCGCTTTGCTTTGCTTGTACGCTTCCCATTCTCATGTTTGTCTGCATAAATGATTGCATGTAATAAATTCATCCGCGAAACCGTATTTGGCTTCTTATTACCACTATTGCACAAACGGGGTTAGCCTAAGAATGATATACGGAAATGGTAAGGAAGACTTATTTCATTGCACACTCGATCATTCGTCCACATCAGAGTTCAGTCGTGAGCCGCGAAACATCTGATCTACAATACAGGTGACACACAAATTAATATAAACATTTTTTTGGTTGGAGTTTCGTTCTCTGAGCTAGATGTTTGTTCTTCTGAACAACATCATCACAAACTTCAGATAGAAACATTGTAGTGTTTGTTATCTACTATGCTGTTCAGCTAAAAGATTGTCTGATCAACAGTGTATAACTACCGAACTTTTAAAGGATAATTGTTTTATTAAATCCTAGTTTGAATTTTGTCTACAATGTGTACCTTAGCTAAAAAAAAATCTACAAAGTCGGAACAATGGTGTACTCAATAATAATTCTTTAATATTTGATGAAAATAATATTTAAAATTAAACCTGTCTTTTGTAGTAATTACAGTGTTGTGTGATTTTTTTTATTCAAAAACTTCTCTTTCTAAAAAAAAAACAGTTGGACCACCGGTAGGTGCGTCAATTTCAACTTACGGACGTGTAGTGACTTTTAAACACACTGGTGGCAATATTTTAAAATGTACATTTGCTGAATTATGTGATACGGTGAGTAGATGAGAATTTTCTTCGCACATTATTGAGTGATATTGTTTTATCTCTCCTATCAAGAGAAAAAGGCATACTATACCAGATAAGAGTTCGAATAAGCATAGTATGTTCACTAGCTTGGTGAATCACTTGACACATGTGTATTGGGATAACATATAAAAAAACCTAATTTATTCTAAATCACACACGTGGTACAGATCCGTGATCTTGGTTTCGAGGCGCACTGTTTGTGATACTGCTTGGTTATTTATGTGTAGTAGTGAAAGTAAAATGTGATTGGTCATTGATTGTCGATACACAGTCACTTCACCGACTGACTATTAATTATATGATTTCCTTCCCTGTTATTGATTTCTACTCCGAACTCACTGAAAGTGACTACTTGTAGTTTTGTGTTCGGTCGTGAATCGTGTATCTTATAAAACGTGGTCCAGTATAAATCCGGTCATCCAGACCAGTCTCATATTATTACGGTATCGTACTGTTTAAAACTATCATACTAACAGCTATATAATTTAAAATTCACTACGTGAATGAAGGATCTAATTTCTGTTATTGAAGAATGACAAAGTGAACAGAAATTAGGTAAATCCAAAATTTAGGGAAAAAATTAATTCACAGAAATAATATCCCTAATACAAAGAAATACATTTTTACCCTAACACCAATAAACAGTTAGATATCTAAGTTGGCTTGCAGACGATACTACTACATCATTACGGTAAAATTGTCAAAATATCAGGGGTGTAAATTACGATTCCACACTAATCGTATCCTCGATCGAATAAATAACATTTCGCAATGCTACTTTCTTATGTAATCTCCTCAGAACGGAGAACTCTACTTTTCATCGAAATAAATACATCCATGTTACAGCCGGTGTATCTTTTAGACTAACGATTACACCACTTTATCAGAACATTATTTGTCGAAAATTTATTTCGCTGAAAAATCTACCTTGGTAATATGTTAACGAGAAATCACAGACAATTCAAAAAAATTATCTTGCATTGTTAGTCTAGCTGACAGTTGTAAAGTATTACTCCCCTTAAAATTAGTTGAATATATCTCGAACTACTGATAACTTGTTATAAGTAGCATGTTGTTTAGCACACAAAGTTTTGTAATTAATAAAAACATGCGTATACTGGATACCATAATATTGTTTTTTTTATTTTGAAAAGCAAACTTAAAGTAATTTGTGCTTTCAGTTTTGTTCATATTTCTATTTTTAAAAAAAGCCTTTAGGCGCTGCTGATTATATGAATTTAGCTAAACGATTTCATACGGTTATTTTATGTGATGTACCACAAATGGGTGTACATAATTTACCTAGTTTGAAACGTTTCATTCATTTAATTGATGTTCTTTATGATACACGTACTCGTCTTATTATTGGTGCCGATTGTCCCCTTGAAAATCTATTAATATCTAAAAATGATACATCTGATGAATTACAATTTACTCATCGTCAATTAATCGATGATTTGAAAGTGAACATGGTAAGTTGATTTGTGTGATAGAGTAATCAGTTTTTTTCCCAAAAAGAAGAAAATTCATACATATTCATAATGTCTTGGTAAATTTATAAGTTCTAATGAATTGTTACATCATTTTTCATTTGGTGAAGAGCGAGACAGCTAAGCTCAAACATGGCGCAAATTCATAGAGACATTGACAGTTGAACCGAGTCATGTTGATAGATGTTGACCAGCAGGTTGGAATCTGAGAGCCAATAGTCACCGATAGTTAGAGATTTTGAATGAGGAGGTGAAAAGTATTTAATATAAATTCACATATATGTGTATTTGTGATTTATTCAATTGAACTAACTAAATCTAATCTGATGACAACCACCTGTACTAACTTGAAGTAAATATGAGGTAAATCTATGCTTTATCAATGAACCAGTCCACCTGGAGATGGAATTTAAAGGTTGTGGTCGATATATGAAACAACTATGTTAACTGTTGATTGTGTTACTGAATTTCAAACTACATGCGATGAAATAATTTTCGAATGTAAAATGTGTCATTTAGGATAAACATTGTTCTGCCTGCCCATTAGTCGGTGACTAATATGCAGGGCGAAAGGATTCTACCGATTTTAGGAAGTAAGAGTACTGAGTAAGGAAGGCAGATCAATAGATGAAGTATTGACCTGGTTGGGACATATGTTACGAATGCCAAACCACTGACTGCCTTAACAAGCTATGTTTAGTAATGTACAAGTAGTTTGGAAGATAGCTAGGGGCGGCCAAACCAAAACATAGCACAAATCCATGAAGTCACTGACAAGTGAACTGAGTAATATTGAGGTCTTCGAGACAATAGTAACCCATGGTTAGTGACTTCGTTTGCAATGGCGAAGATACATTTATTCTCTGTCATCTCTCTAATTCCAGTCTTCTAAATTTCTCATGCCCTCTCCCCGATCCTAGCTGCTACCTTGACGTGATGGTTGGACTTGCATATCGTGATGACCCAACCGAGCTATATTGGCTGGAACATATGTTCCTGAAGGTTCTACCATGCCAGTCAGCTCGATTAGAGAACGGTAAGACTAAAAGCAGCTAACCAAAGTCTGAGAGCGAAGTCGTACTGCTGATTGTAGAGGGGTATAACAGCAGTAAGGTGTTTCCCTCGAACAACCAGCATCTGCAGTGATGCCGCCTTCTCACAAAGAAGGAGGGGGTTAGAAAAGGTCGAGCCTAAAAACGTCACACCTCACCTTAGCTCACGGATTTCCGTCTCCGGCGGTAAGGCCTTTTAAAGAAGAGCGAAGCTAACACTTAAAGTACTACCCATAAAAAGGCCGTGCGTGACCGGCCTCAAGCAGTTGCCCTTGGGCTCTGCGGTCACGCTCCCAGGTCGTTAAAACCAACACTAATCAACCTACCTTTTCAGGGTTCCTCAAGAAACATTCTTCCACTGTGTGCTCATCCGGGAATTGACAACCGCCCACATACCCGTAACAGCACGCGAGACTGAATCGGTCACAATCAAATCCTTCCTACACTCCCTAAGACCTCTCTTTTCTCCACGACTAACTCCTCTCACATTCTTTTATCAACCTGTACCGCTAATGCGAACGATGTGAGTTCCCTAAATGTTATTTCTGGTAAACTGAAACCCCGTTCTAGACTATATGTTGCAGCATTTAATGTGCGCACATTATGTCAAATAGGGCAACAGGCTTCGTTAGCTAGGAGTTTAGAATCTCACTCAATCGATGTATGCTGCGTCTCGGAAACGCGCATACATGGCAGAACTAGCTAACGTTTAAAACGCTCATATTTATCTTTCAATATCACCGTTGTTATTAACGAGATTTGTCAACACAGCATATTCAACATAAAACTATGGTGCATATTTTGTCTACAGCATTAACTGTTTTATCATAATAGAGTTATATCACGGAACTCATATCATATTATCGATCCATGAGCTTGTATCATGTACAAACTTTCTGATTGCGATTCATATCAAAACTGTATTTAATATAGCTTAGAAATGAATTTGTTTGTTTCTTTTACTTAGTGTTTCAACATGATAAACAGACGTAATGATTTTGTTTTTACTTTAATCTTTCTTAGACATATTAACATTTTAATGAGATTTACTTTTTTTGATGAATTATTTTAGGATCATTCAACAACAACAACTAATAATAATAATCATATGAAAGCATCAATATTTACCGGTGAAGAAGATCTATTTGCTTATTCTAGAACATTATCTAGATTACATGAAATGCGTTCAACATTGTATTGGAATCAAAGTGGACCAAATCGTGAGATGGCTAACAGAAGAGAATAATAATAATAATAATAATTAGTAGTGTATTGAACGAGAACACAGGTGGGGCAACCGAATTGTATTTAACGAAAATTACAGAGTTACTCAGTAAAATCGGAAAACCATATCGTAAATCGTTAATTTGCAAAATATCAGTCCATCATATCAAACTGGACTGTTCCTGTTGCAAAACATCAATCCATTGTCACTATTCATGCGTTTCATACAAATTCCATTGTTTTCTAACTCTTCCTTTGTTGATCTTCCCCCATCTTCTGCTGCCAGACATTACGTTGACACTCACGTCATATACTACTTATAAGTAGCTCACACCACAGTAGTAGTAGTTTTGACAGAAAGATAAAAAGAGTCAATAAAGTAATATATATGTGATTGATGAATATTTTCTTTTATTTTTTCTTCATTTTAGATCTTATTATTTGTAATTTTTGAATGATAGATAACACAGAGAGAATAATTATATGTCAATGTATATAAATATATATATATATATACATATTTGATTATTTCTTTTTTTGTATATATAATGGCACAATCGATTAGTTTATGATAATGTTTGCTTTGTTTTTTCAAATACATTTTTTTTCATGAAGAATACTTGATATAGTTGTTTGCAAATGTATGCTGTTCCATCATTTAAATAAAGACAGCGACCACTATACAATACTTAAATTAATGTACTGATACTAAGATAGTATAATTCTATCGTGTACCATTTTGTTTGTTCAAAAGGAATGTTAAAATTTCCATTGTTGCATTCAACAGTCAGTCAGTCAGTTACAACGCAGAACTTTGTACATGCGTATATCAGTTCAGGTCGCCATACCGCATTAGCACACAGATGCCACTGTCAGTGGTGGAGATAGTAGAAGTATTAGTAGTAATGGAGAAGATTAGGGATGGAAGATATTATTCAAGAAGTGTAGTTCAGTGAGAAAACTTTAAAAAGAGAAAGATAGAGATGATGAGGAATTCAGAAGATTAGGATTTGAGAGAGCACAATGAATGGATGCACTTGCGCCACTGCAAACGATTTTGAGCCATGTCGTTCAAGGTCTCTAACCATTGGTGACTTTTGTCTCGCGAACCCCAACCAGGTAGTCTACATCTACCAACATAACTCAGTTCACTTGTTAGTGACTTCATGGATTCGTGCCATGTTTTGTTCTGGCCGCCCATAACTTTCTTCCAACCCACTCCAACACCACAAAACATAGCTCGTCGAGGCAGTCGGTGGTTAGGCATTCATAATACATGTCCTTACCACCTCAACTGATGAAGTTTCACCACTTCATCTATTGATCTGCCATCCTTACCTGGTACTCGTTTCCTAACGACAGCATTGCTTATACGGTTGTCCCACGATATACGAGCAATGCTTCTAAGACATCTATGATCGAATACTAGTAACCTACGAACATCTACTCTTAACGGCCATGCTTCGCAACCATATGGGAGAACGGAGCGAACTGTTGCGCAGTGCACTCGTCCTTTGGTCAGCGAACGGATATCTCGCCTAGGTCATGAACGACGTAAATTGGCAATAGCGAATCGAGCTTTCTGTATCCGAGCTGAGATTTCTTCAGTCACCAGGCCATCGGCACTGATGAGACTCCCAAGATAAGTGAAGTGGTCTACATGTTCGACTACTTCACTCCCTATCACTAGTTCAGGTGCCGATGCAACCCAGTCTTGAAGCAACATTTTGCATTTCCAGGGGGCGAAACTGCATCCCGAACACGCTTTCATTGTTGCTTATGGTAGTCAGAAGACTGCATTTTGTCAGCGTCTTCACCAAATAGAACTGTCATTTGGTGTCTCCTCATTTGCGGATAAATCTTTCGACTTCTTTCGTTTCTTAACATCCCTTCAATCAGCTAGTCTGCATCGAAGCTCAGATCAACAGTATTCATGAACAGATCCCTTTTTTTTATAATGGTCGCCCTTAGTGTTGTTCTATACCAACAAATAGCATCTTTTGAGTTGGCCAACGTATAACACAAACCATTACAGTTGATGAAGATACGCAATCGAATCAATTGATTACCCTATACCTAACCTCAAAAACTCCGCCAGTAGAACCTTAGGGGCTACTGCCGGTCCCAAGCCCGGATAAAGGAGGAGGGTTGGACATGGGGTTGGCGGCCCCATTCCGTTGAAATCTCACTTGCCAAAAAAACGCTAACCAGAAAAAATAATTCAAACCATTTTAACTCTGCCCTGGGAGTTGGAAGAAGAATTATGACGTCTCGTGATGAAAGCCGAGTCCCCTCGGAAGTCACGGGGCCGATGCCTCTTCTGACAACCAGAGCAACCATTTTTTTAGGTACATGGAACGTTCGTACATTGTGGGAGACTGGAAGACTATTTCAAGTTGCGGCAGAAATGAAAAGATACAACCTCGAGGTGCTCGGCATCAGTGAAACACATTGGACACAGGTAGGACAACTGAGACTTGCTTCAGGGGAACTGCTGTTATACTCTGGTCATGAAGAGGAAAACGCTTCACATACACAAGGAGTTGCACTGATGCTGTCCAAACATGCACAAAAGGCACTGATAGGATGGGAATCTCATGGGCCGAGGATCATTAAAGCATCCTTCAAAACAAAGAAAGAGGACATTACAATGAACGTCATCCAATGTTATGCACCTACCAATGACTACAATGACGACGTTAAAGATCAATTCTACGAAAGGCTGCAGTCAATCGTCGAGAAATGTTCACCAAAGGATTTGACGATTCTTATGGGAGACCTGAATGCCAAGGTTGGAATGGACAACACTGGATATGAAGACATCATGGGACGACATGGACTGGGAGAAAGGAACGAAAACGGTGAGAGATTTGCAAACCTATGTGCCTTCAACAAACTGGTCATCGGTGGCACAATATTCCCGCACAAACGCATTCACAAAGCCACATGGATTTCACCGGATCACACTACTCAAAACCAAATTGACCATATCTGTATCAACAAAAAGTTCAGAAGGACCATGGAGGATGTGAGAACCAAGAGAGGAGCTGATATAGCTTCAGATCACCACTTGCTGGTCGCCAAAATGAGATTGAAGCTAAAGAAGCACTGGACAACGGGGCAGACAACATCACAGAAGTTTAATACGGCCTTTCTTCGGGATACCGTAAAACTCAACGAATTCAAGATAGCCCTCACCAATAGGTTCCAGGCCTTTCAGGATCTACACAATGGAGAGGAAGCAACATTGGAGAACAATTGGAAAGGGATTAAGGAGGCAATCACTTCAACGTGTCAGGAGGTCCTTGGTCGCAAGAAGCACCATCACAAGGAATGGATCTCTGTTGGTACTCTTGAAAAAATTCAAGAAAGGAGGAACAAGAAGGCAGCTATCAATGTCTGCCGAACAAGAGCAGAGAAAGTTAAGGCGCAAGCCGAGTATACAGAAGCAAACAGGGAAGTGAAGAAGAGCATCAGAGCTGACAAACGAAAATATGTGGAAGATCTAGCAATGACGGCGGAAAAGGCTGCAAGAGAAGGAAACTTGAGACAATTGTACGAAACAACAAAGAAGCTCGCCGGAAACTATGGTAAACCAGAACAACCAGTGAAAAACAAGGAAGGCAAAGTAATCAGCAACACTGAAGAACAGCGAATTAGGTGGGTAGAGCACTTTAAGGAACTCTTGAATCAACCAGCTCCACTGAACCCAACCAACATCGAAGCAGCATCCACGGACCTCCCAATTAATATTGGCGCACCCACGATTGAGGAGATCAGTATAGCCATCAGACAAATCAAGAGCGGCAAAGCAGCAGGACCAGACAACATTCCAGCAGAGGCAATGAAAGCAGATGTGGAAGCAACTGCGAAAATATTTCACATTCTCTTCAAGAAGATTTGGGATGAGGAACAAGTACCATCAGATTGGAAAGAAGGATACCTCATCAAAATACCAAAGAAAGGCGATCTCAGCCAGTGTGAAAACTACAGAGGCATCACTCTTCTTTCAATACCGGGCAAAGTCTTCAACAGAGTATTGTTAAACAGAATGAACGACTTCGTAGACGCCCAACTTCGAGATCAACAGGCTGGATTTCGTAAGGATCGATCATGTACTGACCAAATTGCTACATTACGGATCATTGTGGAACAATCAATTGAATGGAACTCACCACTCTACATCAACTTCATCGACTACGAGAAAGCATTTGACAGCGTGGATAGGAAAACACTGTGGAGGCTTCTTCGACACTACGGTGTGCCTGAGAAAATAGTCAACATCATACGGAATTCTTATGATGGATTCAACTGCAAAATCGTACACGGAGGTCAGCTGACAGACTCTTTTGAGGTGAAGACCGGTGTCAGGCAAGGTTGCTTACTCTCACCCTTTCTCTTTCTCCTGGTCATCGACTGGATTATGAAGACGTCAACATCTGGAGGGAAGCACGGTATCAACTGGACAGTTAGGACGCAGCTGGACGATCTGGAATTCGCAGATGACTTGGCTCTTCTATCGCACACTCAACAACAAATGCAAGAGAAGACGACCAGTGTAGCAGCAGCCTCTGCAGCAGTAGGTCTCAAGATACATAAAGGAAAAAGCAAAATTCTCCGATGCAACACAACATGCACCAACCAAATCACGCTTGATGGAGATACCTTGGAGGACGTTAACACCTTCACATATCTTGGCAGCATCATCGACGAGAAAGGTGGATCGGACGCAGATGTGAGGACGCGGATTGGCAAAGCGAGGGCTGCATTTCTACAGATGAAAAATATCTGGAACTCCAAACAACTTTCAAACAAAACCAAAATCAGGATCTTCAATACAAATGTCAAGACAGTTCTACTGTATGGAGCGGAAACATGGAGAACTACCAAAGCCATCATCCAGAAGATACAAGTGTTTATTAACAGTTGTCTACGCAAAATACTTCGTATTCGTTGGCCAGACACCATCAGCAACAACGAACTGTGGGAGAGAACAAGTCAGATTCCAATGGAGGAGGAAATGAGGAAGAAGCGGTGGAAGTGGATAGGACATACACTACGAAAAGCACCCAACTGCGTCACTAGACAAGCCCTCACATGGAACCCTGAAGGCAAAAGGAAAAGAGGAAGGCCAAGGAACACACGACGCCGAGAAATAGAGAAAGATATGAGAGGAATGAACAAACATTGGACAGAACTTGAGAGGGAAGCCCAGGACAGAGTTGGTTGGAGAAAACTGGTGGGCGGCCTATGCTCCATTGGGGGTAACAGGCGAAAGTAAGTAAGTAAAGTAGTAACCTCAAAACTATTAATGTGACGAAAAGAAGTTTGAATTCTGTTTGGTCCGAATTTATCAATAATATTTATGTAAACTGCGCTTAGTAGTGTTATCCATTGTACGGATATCGCGCAACGACTTAATTAAACTGTTTATTAATAAATAGAGCTATACTGAAAAGAAACACGTATGTCTTTCGTTTTATAAATTCCTCCTAAGGTGCCCAACCATATCAGCTACCGCGACGTGATGTCTCAACCGAGATATATCAGTCAGAAAACACTCCTTTATGTCCTACCATTCCAGGTAAGTCGTTCGGGAAACGGTTAAACTACAAGCACCAAGGTCTGAGAGCGAAGTCGTACTACCGAGTTAGCAAGGGTCGACCCTAAAATTGTCACACCTTAACCCACAGATTTCTGTCTCCGGCGGTAAGGCGTTTTGAAGAGCAAAGCTAACACCGAAAACTTTCCATGACTAGGCTGTGTGTAATCGGCTTCAAGCAGTTGCCCCTTGCATCACTAACGATTCGAATTCGCGCAATGTTATTCCTGTTCTCCTGAAACCACACTCTGGACTACATGTTGGAGCTCTAAATGTCCGAACCTTGTGCCAAATAGGACATACCTCCTTAGCTAGCGACTAGAATCATGTTCCATCGATGCATGCCGCATCCCCAAGACGTGCATACAGGATCCAAGTACAGTCATTCACTTGATCCCACCTTGTCAATATGAGGAACCGATACGATTTCCTCTTTGTGTTTCTGGGACGCCACTTCTACCATCCGTAGGCTCACGGGTGTAACTATAGGATTAAGGCTGAAAGCAGAATCAGCTGTCGTCAAATGGATTACACTAATCTGTCGCTGGTGCACTGTCCGACTGAACGGGATAGCAAGAACTCGAAAGTACAGGGATATATGCTGTTGCCTCTTCGTTGTCTCTGCCTATACTCCTACTGATTGCAGCTCAGACGAGGTAACAGATGAACTCTAGAGAAAGCCTTCTGATCACCTTCAAAAAGCTAGGCACTATGATATTGTAATAGTAACTAACGACTTTAATGCCGAAGTCAGTTATCTACAGCATCAAACTTGTTACGTATGGACATTGGTTCAAGTTGCCATACTACATTAGCACAGAGAGATGAAGTTGTCAGAACGAATCCCATAGCAGTAGAGATTGTGGCAGTATTAGCAGTAATGGAAATGACTAGGGATTGAGAATATTATTCAAGAAGTATAATCCAGTGGAATAAATTAATGCATAAACAGGTGTATATAGGACCAGAGTGGAAGGCACATTAGTGGCTGATCGAACAGATAATTGCTACCATATGCTCCAACTGTCATCTTAATGTGAAATATCGCTTAGGACACTAGGTATGGTTTCAAACCATATGAAGTTGAGAATCTTGATCTACTAAGTTGGTTTGGACGTGTTTAGTATGACCAACCATCATATAACTCGACGAGCGATACTCCATATCGTCATATTTTCTCGAATTGAATCTTCGACTCCTAATCACTTCCATTACCTCTAGTACATGTCAGACCCTCCACTATTATGGGACCTAGTCTGACAATTCCATCTCTTTGCGCTAAAGTATAGCAACTTCAACCTGTGTACGTACGTACTAAGTATTTGTATAATTTAGTCAAACGTGAAATAACACTGATTTATGAAATAAAAATACCTTATATCAGTAAAACATTTATCAGTAGTTAAGAATGTGTGAATAAATTTTCAATAAAAAAAAAGAGAATTTTTCATAGTATTTAGATCAATACTGATTACATTTTTTTTCTTCTGTTTTCTTTACATAAATAGACAACAAGTGAAGATAATTGCAGAAAAAAATAATAATAATAACTACCATTCACATAATACAATATAAAATCCCAATAGATTTTTTTGAAATCAAAACACGATCATAAGTATGGATGGAATATGATACATATCATCATCTATACAGGAACTATCCAGTGTTTATACAACAACAGTCTGTGTGTTTAAACATTGAATTAATAATGAAAGACATTCTGGCTTAAAGCATTGAATATGAAAACTGATCAGATTGATTGTTTCTCTTCAAGCGATATAATTAATTGTTTTTTTCTGCTTTTCTATAGGTGGTCAACAAGGCGATTCTTTTTTGACGGAATTATCTGTATTTAGAAAAGAGAGAGAGAGAGAAAGAGACAAGTAGAGAACTATTAATAACAAGCATATATTGTTGTAATTTATAATTATATTATTGATATCATGAACTGATCAATGTTAGACCACTATTAGAAACATCAAAACAGTGAATAACCGCTTCACTGACAGTTTTCACATTTCCCAATCAATTGTTTATTTGTTAAGTAACTTCTTATCATGCTCACCAATGTTTTCAATATTTCTGCATATTTACTGCCGGTCCCAAGACCAGATAAAGGATGAGGGTTGGAAAATGGGGTTAACCACCTCATCTCGTCAACATTAAAAGAATGAACAGGGCAATTGTGTAGAACTGGAACGGAAGGCCTAAAGACAGAGTAGGTTGGTGAATGCTGGCTAGCGGCCTATGTACCAAGCATTTAACTCAAAGAAAACAACCTACTCTAAATAAGCAACTGTTTTATCCAACTAAATAGGGTCTTACATTATTAGTTCGACCAGGTAAGTGTGTAGCCAGTACTTAGCCAGCCACATTCGTATCATCCACAGTTTATCAAAATTTAAACTTATTGGTTTTGACAATCAAACATTTGTTCATCAAATCATACATAAAATCCTACTACTCCATAATGCCCATTAAAAAAAGCTCAGTTAATTGCTGTCGTTTAAATTATCACAATGTTGAGTAGCGAGATTTTACATCATTACAATTTTAATGCAAACTTACGTTAATAACCGACAGTTTCAATAGTTAATTTTATTCATCATGTTAAACACTTATGAAATTCTTGTTCTATCACTAAATTACTCTACTAATATCACCAGTGTTGATTTGTGTTTTCTTCTACGAAGAATTATTGATAAACCGGCTAATAAATTATTGACCAAGATAAGTTTTTCTCCCACAGACATTTTAAACCCGCCATCCTTGTTTGACGACAACTTTTCGATAGGATGTCGCCGTTTGTGACCACTTGTAAAGAGTGTATTATCTTCAAAATTAAAATCATAGACTGGACAGATGTCTCGTTCTGATATAGGGTCCAACACTGACATCAGTGACGCATAGGCATCGAGTCTAGGAGCTTCGGTCTCGCGCGCAAACACAACCCCTAGACGAGTCTAAACTTTGGACATTCCATGATGTTGTGCGACCGTCATTTAGTGGCAGGTGACTGTACAAAAGCTGTCGACAATTGAATGCATGGGGTCATGAATGAGGACTGCTGACGAATCCCACCATCCTAGGACGAACCGGCTGTCTAGTGCTTCCAGTGGTCTAGCTAATATCAGTTCGTGATTGCAGCTATGAAAATAATTATAATTTATTGTGGAACCACATATATTACTTACATATAAATATATCCGATCTACTTAAACGACCTTCTGATTACAATAGATTTAAAGTGCACTATTTAAGTGAAGCTGATTGTTATTCAGGTAAATTTTGCACAAGTTTTTATTTTTAGATTTCAGTTGTATTACAAATCAAATGACCTCATTGATTAAGAAATATCATAGACTGTATGACATGTGTTGTTATCCAAGCAAAATATTGAATACTGTTGAAAAACTAGACTCGGACTAGTAGTGGAATCCAGAATACAAGTTTTGTCCTATTTACGACACTTTAGCTGAATGTACCTACATCCCAGAGTTGATATTCACTCCATGACTCGAACCCAGTACCGTCTGCTTCAAATGACATCGCAGTATCTACTTAGCTACTGAGCACATATACTCACTCACTTATGCAGCGGATATTTGTTAGGTTGGTCACTAGGTACGCTTGAAGCTATTACGAGTTCACTTTAGTCGATAAACGCGAACGAGACAATGAACCAGCGTCCAGGTAGGCTACCTTGATCTCAAAACTGCAAAAGAAAAGTCTGGATAAGGGTAGAAAGTATATTCTACAAACATCTAGCAAGCACACAAATTTTCCTGGTGGGAAATGAAATCTCAAGGTCAACTGATCAGCCCATGCTCGCAAAGGTGAAATCCAAAATGAAGCATTTACCAAGCGAGCTCTGGGGATCTAACATCATCAACAGTATGACTTTAAATTTAATTTGAAATGGTTTGAATCATCCAGCTGATAAGTGTATTATTAAATAAAATGAAAAACGCGCCCTGGATTCCATTCTTAACCATAGTTTATATATTCTATATAAAATTCTAGCATAATGATTACATTGAAGCAATTTGTACAGGATGAACTCATATTCCAATCAAGACTGATCAAATTCTCATTAAAAATTATGAACAACAGGATAATAATCTAAAGCATTTTCCTTTGAATAATGCATAACAGTAATAATAGTAATAATAATAATGATAATAAAGTTACTCTGAACATTTTGAGATAACTGAAATTTTATATAAATACTACTTATCAAATATATTCTTCTACTTACCGCTGTTACAGTACCACCAGCGATTGATTCACCATTAACACGTAGCATAAATCGTCCAAGTGGTTTACATTTTTCATAAACTTCTATACAAATCGGTCTTTCAAATGTCAACTCTACATTTGCTGTACAATTACCAAGAAGACATCTGAAGAAAACATGAATAAGTAAAATATTTAATAAATATATTTATAAGGGGGGAAGCCAATTTGTGAACTTTTTTTTCCCAAAGTATTACACAACAAAACTCAGACTACATAATGTCACGACATTGTTTTTTATTGACTCGAGAGCATTTTATGGAATTCAAAGAATCTTGGTTTAAAACTTCTCAGAAGTGTGCTCGTCTAAAACTTATAAGTATTGCTGTAAGCATGAAAAGTGTAGAATGATGAGATGTAATTCAATAGTCCACACTTCAAAAAAATTTAATATCAGTATGATTGATGAACTCATTGGCTTAATCTTTACTTTACAAGTCACATCTACTATTCATTAGAACCAGAAGAAATATGTCTTTAATTTGATGTGAGGCAAACAAACAGATACGACGCAGAACTTCGTACCTGCGTACATCAGTTCAGGTTGCCATATCGCATTAGCACAGAGAGGCAACTGTCAGTTCAAATCACATAGTGGTAGCGATAGTAGGAGTACTAGCAGTAATGGAGTAGATTAGGGAGCGAAGATATGATTCGAGAAGTGTAGTTCAGTGAGATAAATTTAGAAATAGAAATAGAGATTATGAGGAATTCAGAAGATTAGAATTTGAGAGAACACAAAGAGTGGATGCACCTGCGCCATTGCAAACGATTCTGAGCCATGTCGTTCAAGGTCTCTAACCATTGGTGACATACGTCTCGCGGACCTAATGTGATGCATTAAATAATCTTCACTTTATTTAAGCCTATATAATTATTAGTGTAAATGAGCACCCAAATATTTACGCACCATAAAAATGATTGGATTTGTGAGTAGGCTGGGATACTATACTGCCACAATGCGCAAACTGAACCAGGTAGCTTTAGTTGAAGACCACTCACTCTTTAAGCATCAGGCCTAAAGGCCTAATCTACAAGACAGTTGAGCAACACCAGGAGTCTCATAGCAGCCGCTGCCCATTCATATGCCCTTTGTTTCATCGGGATGCCAGGACCTATGTACTACATTGGTTTAGAATCAGGGCATTTAACCCCTCTGAGTGGATTTCCTATTTTTACTAACCCAGGTTAAACCTCACCGGACACTCACTGCTACAGAATCACCAACATGGTTTCATCAGAATTATGTTTTATTTATAATTTAAATGTTAATGATGATATTAGATTATTCATTGTCGTTGACATGAATTTCTTAAATAAAAAATAAGAACTATAACAAACATAGTTACAATGCAATTACATCAAATAATTAACCTAGAAGCACCGAATAACCGTTTCATCCTAGCATGGAACTCATCGTTAGCGCGCGCCCGCGACCCTGCAGGCCGGAGCCGAACTCAGGACAGTTGGTCAAGCGCGCGAACACATAACCTTTAGATGGATATTGGATGCCCAGTCGGTGACCAAGAGATAAGGCGTTTGTATGCGAGACACTGAAGGTAATGGGTTCGGCTCCCGCTTGCGCAGTTGTGGATGCGCACTACTGATGAGTCTCATACCAGGATGAAACGTCCATCCAATGCTTCCAGACTTCCAACAGTAGTCAAATGTCGATCAGCTCACGTATCAAATCACGCATAATGAATTCAATCAAACATCATCATATCATAGCATCGACAAATGAAGATAACAGTCAATTTAGCTAACCTTGGTTTTCGAACAACTTTCTCAATTTTATTTTCTCGATAAGTCATTGATTTTAATTTAGTGATATTAGCTGCTATACTGGCACAATTATAATAATATATAACCTAAAAAAGGGAGAGAAAAGTAAAAACAAAAAATAGTAGTCCGTCATAAAATCAAAATTTCATAATACACCGCGCTAATGAAAAAGAAAAACAGGAAATCAATAATAACCTTCTATGAATTTGTCACTGATAAATGAATCCACTTTTAATATCACCCGACTAAATCTACACAGCAATTTGGGAACAAGAGAAAAAGCAGAAGGCAAGGAAAAAACGCCTTACTGCCTTTAGAGACCTTTCCGACGAATAATAATTTCGGAACTGCGAAATAGTTAATTATTTGATTATTCAAAAATAAAAACTTACAAGGCGTGACATACAAAAAATTAATTATTCAAGTTAGTTTATTGACATAACGAAAAAGAACTATTGTATATGTAGATATTTTACTCGATAATTATATAATATAATTCAAGGATTAGTGAATATGATTAAAATATTGTTAGGTATATTATAGAAGTTAATGACATTTATACTTTGTGGGGGGTTTTTAACCAGTGGAAAAAAATCAATAACACGGTTTATTCGTAAAAACGGATATAAATAATCTTTTAACAATAATAATAATAATAATAAACACTTGAATTTTTTGTAATCATTAATTGTGCTAATAATATTTAAAAGTTAATGAAAACAAACATTTTTAAATAAATAGAAATGGTCAAATTGAAAAGACTAATTAAATGTCCTAAGTTTTCGAATAGTTTTGTTATTATTGAATACGAACGAACACATAAATATTTATGTCACAATAATTATTGAAATTATGAGTTGGCTGAGATACTACTGGACGACCGCGCAAACCAAAACAAGTGGGTTTTTTTTAGGAGACTACTTCTAGGGTCTTTGACCTACGGGTCAAATCCAAAAGACAATGGAGCAACATTAGGGGATGCAGTGATAAACAACTTCATACGCCATTCGTTCCGTCAAGATACTGGAAACCAAGTGCACTTGGTTGGGAATGAAGGTTTTACTATTCTCTTAGGTGAATTCTGCATAGTCACCAATCCGGTTTAAACCCCTCGGGACATTCACTTCTCGTCCTCTTGATTTCGTAGACAACAAACACCCTGAATATCAAGCAGTATTATTAAGTCTATGGACATAAAACTGAATTAATCATACTCCCACATAAATATAAATAACATATATATGTATCATTATGCTGGATAATTATTCAATTTCAATTATTCTACAACTTCATATCCAAAATATATCATATTTAGAAATTTTGAATTAATGAGACAAGCAAACAAACTTCCTATTCGCTCATCAAAACAGAGACACACACTATGAGGGTGTATTTCAGCCAGATTGCGCTTTCTACGCTGGACGATTTAATCATATTGAAAAAATCAGAACCAATAAAAGAAAACTAGATGCTCGACTGAACTGGAAGCTCATTTACACAGATTCAGTTCTTAACTATAACGACAACGATTTTAAAAATCCAACTCTGTGTATAAACCCTAACCCTAAAGAAGAGAGAAGAGACGACCTGTTACAGCACACCTGCCATACTTGAAGAAATCAAACGACTGTCCACCTAATCCCACTGAATACTATTGAACAAACTGAGTCGGCAAGCACATATTATTATCAGATGTAAGAATTGACAAACGGATTATTCTGTTTTATATATTGCATGACATAACTGAGAATACAATCTGATTGTTGAGGTTGTGAAAAAAGGAGAATTTAGCACAAATCACATTAATGAAAACAGAAAGATAAAATAATATAGAAAGAAATAAACAGAAGATTATCCATGAAATATAAATTATTTTAACTGTAAAAAACAACACAACACCGTCTACAGATAATAATGTTGTCGATAGGGAAACATTCAATTTGTCATAAATGTAACAAAATCAACAATAACTTACAGGATAACCTTTAGTTATAGGTTGTTGTATAGAGAATACTAATAGTTTAGCTGAAATACAAATCGATGGTTGTATTGGATTATCTGGATCAGTAAGTAAATCACCAGGAATAAGAGTTTGAAATGGATCGATATCGGTTAACATTAACGCCACTTGATCACCAGCAAAAGCAAATTTAACAACTTGATCTAATAATTTACCTCCTAGATCACCTAAAAATTAGATAGATGAATAGATAGATAGAAACGTGTAGTAGCGATAAAGCCTGTTTATTGCAAGTCGACGTAAAAAATTGGGCCGAATTGCAGTGCAATGTTAGCTATCGTTAAAATTGACTGATTACAACTTATATGCTGAACTATATGAATATAGATTATCAATGAAAAACAAAACATCTCTTATCTAATTCAACGCTACTTCCTATATGCACACATTGCCCAGACTAATTCTACACTTGAAATGGAATAGTGGAGAAGGGATGCAAAATATTTTAGATCGAAGCTTTATGTTAACATTGAGTTGATTGGTTTTTGAAAGGTCATGATTTCTTTCGAAAAGTTTGCGAATATAGTGACTAAATAAGTAATTAACCAATCAAAATCTAATACACAAAATCGTTCATTTTTTTAGACGCTTCTAGGAAGCTCCTATTCCATGTGCTGATTGGATGAAACACTGTTCATTTTTGTTTAGAGCTTCCGGTAATTGATAAAGGCGGATAGTTATGCGCTCTCAACAGTATACTACTTATAATTGAGAAGACACTAATCTTGAAACTTGCACGATATAGCATAGTTCAGCTGAACAACCGATGAACTCTACATAAGATCCGATGGTCATTCTTGGACTCATTTTCACTGTGTTTGTGACCGATTTGGTCTTGCGTGCTGTTACGGGTACGAGGGCGGTTTTCACTTCCCAGCTGCACGCACAGTGGAAGGTTGTTTCTTGAGAGACCTGAAAAGGAAGATAGATTGGTGTTGGTCTTAGAGACTTGGGAGCGTGACCGCAGAGTCCAAGGGACAACTACTTGAGGCCGGTCACGCACGGCCTTTTTATGGAAGGCTTTTTGAGTACTAGCTCCGCTCTTTTAAAGCCCTTAATGGGCTGCCCTTACCTTCGGAGACGGAAATCTGTGAGGTAGGGTGAGGTGTGACATTTTTAGGGTCGACCTTTTCTAACCCCTCCTTCCTTGTCAGAAGGTAGCATTGCTGCAGATGCTGGTTGTCGGAGGGAAACACCTTACTGCTGTCACACCCCTCTAGATTCAGCAGTACTACTTCGCCCTCAGACCATGAGTATCTGTTTTTTGTCTCATCGTTCTCCAATCGACCTGTCTGGCATGGTAGAACCTTCAGGAACATATGTTCCAGCCAATATAGCCCGGTTAGGTCATCACGATAGGCAAGCCCGACCACCACGTCAAAGTAGCAGCTACGGTTGGGTATTTTCAATCTATTCCTATGGTATTCAATAAGCTAAAATAAAGCATCGATATAAAACTACTTTTGAATACTTCAAGACCAAAAAAGAAAATGTGAAATATTACGATATTGACCGAATTCAGTTTCATAAATTTTTGTTTGGAATCAGTGTATTGCATGTTTTCACTTAAATACAAATTAGTTTTATAGATTTTTTTAAGAAGAAAAACAATGATTACTAGTTTGTTTTTTCTGCTAATCTCCAACCAAAGATTGTTGAAAAAAAAGGAAACAGATTTATCTACCCCAAGTGTGAATGACCAAATTCAACAATCTATAAACAACAACAAAACCACTAAAATTACAACAAGGCCCAGCAGAATGTGCAATTTACTTTCATGACAGCGAAAAACAAACTAACCTTCATTTTGATCATTTTGATCAGTACGAGTATTACACAATGATCGAATAGATTTTACACTAGTTCTTACATCACTTGGTAAACAAATAACTTTACTTGTAGGTATATTTACACCACCAGAAACAGCTCCAGAGATAACTCGTCCAGCAACCATTGGTACACTAGAACCAGCAGGTTTAAATATATCACTGACAACAAAACGAAACGGTCCGTCAACAGTTCTCTCAGGTGATGGAATTGAATCTATGCAGATAAATTATTATAATGAAAATATGTGATTAAACAACCTTACTAAAGTGCATAAGCACTGGTTAAAAGAACACAAAAACATGAGAACTCCAACTTCGTAGCATGACCCCGTGGAGTTGTATTGATAAAAACCAATGAGTTTTATACTTGATACCTAGAGGTGACCATATGATATATGTCAATTTTAAGTTAGTATAACAAATTCATAAAATCTGATCCGCGAACAATTACTAATGTATTGAACGAAGACGTTAAGATCAAAGAGAATAAGTGATGTGTTTAAAGCAAACACAGTTGATTAGCCAGAATGTGTACATTTTATCTTTAGATTACCATTTGCACAAAAAGCAGATTATTGACTGCCTTAGTTCACATGTCTTCTAGTCTATAAAACACTATGGTTGCGCCATACATTTGAACCTGACACTCTTCTCTTCAGTAGTAACATCTGGGCAACACGCTGGTGCATAACTAAACTACATATATTTATGGTGTCGACATAAAAATCACATAAAAAATATACTTCTCCAAATACAAAATTTGTCTCAAATATACCATAGTAGTTTTATTGAAATCATGAACTGATTAATGCTAGTGTACTCAGAAAAATAATAATAATAATAAGTTTAAGGCTTTCAAAATCAGTCACACTCAAAATAGAACACGGTACGTATGTACATCAATTCACGTTTCCATACCACATGAGGTAGAATTAAGAATTCAAATACCATAGTAGCAGAGGCTATAGCGGTAATCGAAATGAATAGGAGATCAAAGATAAAATGTCCAAACCAACTCAACAGATGAAGACTCAATACCTCATTAGTCGATGAACCATATTCTAAAAACCGGTTACGGTTATATCGTAGACGCAAAACCTACTAACATTGCTCAGTTGAGTTGTCAATGACTTCATGGACTTGTGCCATGTTTTGATCTGGCAGCCCCTAACTTTCTTCCAACCTACTCCTACACTACAAAACATAGCTCGACGAGGCAGTCGGTGGTTAGGCATACGTAACACATGTCCCAACCACCTCAAATAATGAAGTTTCACTACTTCATCAATTTATCTGCCATCCCTAAATACTACTCGTTTCCTAACGACAGCATTGCTTACTCGGCTGTCCCAGGATACACGAGCAATGCTTCGGAGAAACCTATGATCGAAGACAAGCAATCTACGAATGTCCTCTACTCTCACCGGCCATGTTTCGCATCCGTATAGTGGGATGGAGCGAACTGCTGCGCAGTAGCAGTACACTCGACCTTTGGCTAGCAAACGGATATCTCGTCTACCCCATAGGTAACTCAAGTTGGCAAAAGCCAGTCGAGCCTTCTGTCTATCCATGCTGAGAATTTGTCAGTCACCAGGCCATCAGCACTGTTGAGACTCACGAGATAGGTGAAGCGGTCTACACGTTCAGCTGCTTCGATCCCTATCACTAGTTCAGGTGCCGATGCAACAAAATCCTCAAGCAAAATTTTGCAATTCTAGGAGGAGAATTGCATCCCGAACACGCTTGCATTGTTGCTTAGAGTAGTCAGAAGACTGCATCTTGTCAGTGTCTTCATCAAGTAGAACTATGTTATCAGCATAATTGAAATCAACAAGTGCATTCCCCGGTAGATGGTCAACTCTTGAAAAGTCGGACGATGAAAGTGTCGTTTCTAGGATTATGTCAATCACAAAGTTGAACAAGAAGGGAGAAAGTGGGAAACCCTGGCGAACACCACTTGAAGTAATCAATTCGAATGACATTTTGCCATAAACTTTGACTCAACCAGCAGTGCTCGAGAAGAGATCTCATACAGCGTGAATGAGCGTTACTTGGTACACATTTCAATGATAGACACTGCCACAGAACTTCACGATTAACAGTGTCAAAGGCCGCCTAAAGGTCAACCAATACATTGAAATACGTGTCTGCGGCATGCATCGATGGAACAAGATTCTAGTCGCTAGCTAAGGAGGCATGTCCTATTTGGCACAAAGTTCGAACATTGAAAGGTCCAACATGTAGTCCAGAGTGTGGTTTCAGGAGGAGAGGAATAACATTGCTCGAATTTGAATCAATATTGTCGAAAGGCACAACTACTTAAACCCGGTCACACACGGCCTATTTATGGAAAGTTTCCGGTGTTAGCTCCGCTTTTTAAAATGCCTTACCGCCGGAGACAGAAATCTGTGGGTTAAGGTGTGACAATTTTAGGGTCCATCCTTCCTAACTCGGCAGTACGACTTCGCTCTCAGACCTTAAGTTGGTGACTTACCTGGAATGGTAGGACATAAAGGAATGTGTTTCTGACTGATATATCTTGGTTAAGTTATCACGATAGGCACGCACGAGCACTATGTCAGGTTAGCAGCTACGGTGTTGATATTATGTGGTAACTAGGTTTGATGAACATTTCTTCCAGGTCCCATTCTGATTATGACAGGATTATTTTTAATATCAGAGTAATACTTGATACGATGATGGATTAGTGTACAACTCACATTGATAACATTCAAATGAAAGTACTTACAATTTTACAAGTAATAAATAATAAACAACCACAGAAGTGATACTAACCAATAAATTCCAGTAGAGAGGGTCCAGTATACCATGTAAACAGGTTAGAACTTGTCTCTGAAGTATTTTTGCTACTACCATTATTACTACTGGACGAATTTCGAGGTACTAAGTTAACTCCAACCAACCCAGACACTGGACAATATACAACTCCGGAGAAATTCATAGATTTTAGAAAACTAGATATTTGCGCCTGAATTTCATTAAATCGTGATTGACACCATTCTACTGTATCCATTTTATTTACAGCAACAATTAAACGAGAAACACCTAATAAACGAGCCAATCGAGCATGTTCTCTTGTCTGACCTCCAGCACCAATTCCAGTTTCGAATTCACCTCGAGTAGCGTTGATAACCAGGAGAGCAGCATCAGCTTGAGTTGCGCCACCAATAACTTGTGGAACAAAATCCTTGTGTCCTGGAGCATCCATCAGAGCGACCTTTGAGTTTCGAATAAAAATAAGTATCACTCAAATACACCGTATGTAATGAGTTGAGATTAGGAATAAAATTCAAAGTAGGGGGATTTAATATCTCTGATGACAATTTAATTAGAATAACTTACTACCCACTTACTGTCCAGTACAGTTTTTCACCACTTACACGTATTTTTTTGCACTACACAACTGTAAATTATCAAATGTGTAAATGACATCAACGACCAACACAAAGATTAAAAATGAACACAATTAAATCACTGTAATTGATTTAAAGCCAAATTATCTATCTTTTGTAACACCATGGTATACTATTAGTAGTGGCTAAGTATTTAAACCATTTGACTTCCATTCATTAAATTGTACACTTATTTTAGTTTGGGTAACTATTTCCCAAGTTTAAAAAGAGATTCAAAGTTAAGTACACAAATATGTACTTGAACGACGTAACCCAAATTAACAGTTAGCAAATTCATGGATTGAATTTCTATGTTTTATTTACATCACTGTTGTTAACTTTTTCATATCTATTCTCCATGTTACTCATTGGGATAGGCAGCGACTAAGTTCAATAAAAACAATTACAAAATGAACACCATAAAATACTTTATGCTCATTTACTGTATATTTTGAAAGCATAATCACATAGAAATATGAATGGGTTAGATAATTATTTTTTTCTAATCTCTTACTCGTTTTGATTTTGTTTCAAATGAAGTTTGTGCAATATCCATTGTAACACCACGATTTCTTTCCTCAGAAGTTTGGTCTAAAATCCATGCATATGCGAATGACGCTTTGCCAAGTTTTTGTGCATCCCATTGATATTTAGCTAATTGCTTACTAGAAACATGCCCTAATAAATATAGTAGATTTCCCATTAGGGTACTTTTACCAGCGTCCACATGTCCTATTTAAAATATTTAAAACAAAACAAATATGTCAATATGAAGGTTGTGAAGAATGTTGAGTTTGATCATATGATTGAAAAGGGAATTTTCAGAGTTTTAATAAGAAGCCGTGGCTAATATAAATTCATCCGTTTCGGATGAGAGGCAATCATCCACCGAAGAAAATGGATAATTTTTGCGTGATATCCTGGATTGGTTGAGGTCACACGCTAACACCATTGGGTGCCGACTCAATAGCCAGCAGGCTGTATTCCTGTGCGAGAATGACGGTCATGGGTTCGGCTAGCACTTGCGGGGCCGTAGATGACCAGTGAGTTGAAACGTAGAACTTTGTATGTAAGTACATCAGTTCAAGTTGCCATTAACACAATAGCACAGGCACGCAATTTTCAATTCAAATCCCATAGTAGCAAAGGTAGTTGAAGTATTAGCAGTAATCGGAAAGATTAGGGTTCGAAGGTATTATCCAAGAAGTATAGTTCAGTGAAATAAACTTAGAAAAGACCAGTTCGTAATTTCAATGGAACAAATCCATGTTAGTTTACACTTAAAGGTGGATGGTGAATCATTTTTACAACCCTACAACCAGTAGACTGTATTAATAACAGGATATTTTACATTTGTTAGTAGTTTGTAATGAAACATTACGTCAAATTAGACATTTCATGTTAAAAACATAACAAATCCAATTAGAAATAATGGGATATTACTAAAAAGGAATAAATGTAGTTCTACCTGTTGATTTTAGTAATTTAATATATTGATATTGTAGATTGTACACATATACATATCAAATACCTCTGTTCAATGTATTTAAATTTGACTGTTGGCTAGATGGAGGTATATTCTACATAACTAGATGTATGATGCGATAACTTTGATGAGTATTAATTGGTTGTGGATTTACTGTTAATGTATAATTAGATTTCCATCTAAAGTTCTCACATCTCTCTTGAATTCAGCTGTATCAACCTTTGTTTAGTTATAACAAGAAATTATACAAGTGTTTTGTTTTTAGTTAAAACAGACATATTATTCTATCTGCCCTACCTAAAACTATCACATGTCTACATATCTATAAATGGTAAATTCTTGATGCTTAGCACAGAATACAGTCAAACACTTCATCCGACACTTGTCTACAGTTTTATCGAATAATTTGCTTGACCATAATGAAGGATGGAGTGCAGCGCTGCTTTTGTGTACACGTAGACTAAAGGAATAATCTTATAGGATCGTGAACTAGATTATGAAAACATTGTATTTTTACCGAAATAAGATGGACCTATTCATTTATGATATGTGTGAAGCGATAATGAGATGTAAGAAGAAAATAGAAATCGAAACAATATTGGGATGGCATACGTAAAACATATAGAAGCCAGTAAACCTTAAATTCCAAGACAATGATCATAATAGTAATAATAGGATCATGATCTCTACACTACAGTCAAATATATCGATGCAACTTAAATTACGCTGCCACTAAAAATTAAAAACTCTTTGCAGACAACACAACAAACTCAGAGTCCCTCGACGTCTATGACTTAAAGAGATTATGTTTTATGAGTACTGAGATGAACCGCTTCAACCCAAACTTTTACAGTCAACCAAGGTGAAAGTAGTGCAGGTTATCATGAGTTGTTTTGAAATTTAGTTTACGCAGATACATCTTATATACCGGACTACACCATGATCAGATGCACAACTAGTGAGATAAACGAACTCCCAACTGTTCTCGACGGTCTATCATCAAGGGCAAGAGCACATGTAAACTTTTGCCAGTTGCACTGATGTATTTTACTTGTAGATGATGCTAAATATATATAACACTTACGGATGTTGACCGCCAAACTGATTAAATGTTATGTAGGTAGAATGTATGTTAATACAGTAAGATAATATCCAAAAACCCAAAGTTGAGTAGGCTTCCCCTCTAACATGAAGTATCATTACATGCTTCCTTTGATCGATGCGAAATCTCAGTCCTACAAGGGGTTAGCAGATGCTTGAATAACTTGATAGCAACACCTCAGACTGTGAAGCTGGGTGATGTGAGGTCAAGTTCAGGAAATGTAATTGGAACTCCCCAGATTCCAGGGGTTTCTTATACTATCTCTACCGCTATGGGATTTGAATTGTGCTAACGTGGTATAGCAACACGAACTTATGTACGTATGTACGAAGTTTACGTTGTAACTGAACGACTGACTGACTGATTCTAGGGGCTCCTTTTTGACAAGTTCAAACTAGCACAAAACCCAGTTCCAATATTTTTTGCCAACAACTTCTAGCCATCGAAACTATATATTTATAAGGTAAGGTAATTATTACGTAACCGAAAAAATACTAATAACATACTTCAGAAGGGAGCAATTGCAATTAAACTCACCCATAACAATGAGATTGATTATCTCTTTTTCAGCTGACTCTTTATGCAGTTTGGAATATTCATTCACCAAAGAATGCCGGTCGATGGGTTTGCTAGGAGTTGCCGTATTATCGCCTGGAGTACGTAAGTTAGAACGTTCGTCAAAATGACTAGAGATTGTCAATTTCTGAGAAAGGGATATATTTAATAATGAAGTATCAGCATGATCAGCGCCTTCTGTAGAACGTGTTTGAGTTGTTTGAGCTGTAAAAATTAACATTGATACAAAAGAAATTCTTTTAAATTTATGTTGCATTATTCTGTACATTAGACACCAAACAAATAGACAAGAGGAAAAATCTACTTACATTTAACTGATTACTGTGTAGTGACCAATATCATTTTTGCTTAGTCCTTTTTAGTGCTAATCAAATGGTCAATCAAGTTGCGACCTGGTCATCATTCGAAGTGATTCTACATCCCAAACGCTATGCTGAGGTGTTTAGTGATTGAAAGTAATCCGTGGGAAACTCTGAATCTAAGTTTCGTGCTATTTGGCTTTCACTAGCAAGGTATACATATAATCTTACGGAAACTGATGATCTCTAAGGGACCTGAGTCTGCATCACACAGCAGCAATTTTCGTAAGGTTACAGGTATACTATGCTGAAGAGTGCCAGATAGCACAAAACCTAGATCCATGGTATCCCATTAATTATTTATGGACTAACAAAAAATCTACTTTTCGGTTGTAAGTTGTTTAACTCAACAGTAAAACTACTTTTTAAGTCACAAATTGAAGAAATCTATCATACAATTTATTTATTTACGTTACCTACGACGAAACCCGATGGTTAGAGACCTTGAACAACATGGCTCAAAATCGTTCTCTCAAATTCTAATCTTCTGAATTCCCCATCACCTCCATCTCTACCTTTCTAAATTTATCTCACTGAATTATACTTCTTGAATAATATCTTCGAACCCTAATCTTCTCCATTACCAGTAATACTTCTACTACCTTTACTACTATGGGATTTGAATTGACAATTACATCTCTGTGCTATTGTGGTATGGCAACTTGAACTGTTGTACGTACGTACGAAGTTCTACGTTGTAACTGACTGACTGACTAACCGATGACGAAAACAAGTTAGCTGAATGCAGATTGCAAGGTTACAACAATTTAAACCACTTTGATATCGTTTTATAAATACGAAAAGAAGTTAGTAGTAAATATTCGGATTTTATATCATATTTATGTACGAACTATGGCTTGTGTGATTTTTAACTTTTCATTCATTGACTGCATTTATAGCTTTGGGAATTGAATTTTTCATACTTACATATGCACTCTTATTTGCTTCTCATATACTAAGTGTTCTAAGTGTTCACTAAGCTGATGAGAGGTAGCGCATTTGTGCCAAATGATGACTATGAATTACTGTTCGAATTAATGCGTGGTAACTAGAAATTTCAGATAACTTCAATATGCCCCAGGATCACGCAAAAAATAATCACTAATAGTTTGTTGCTTTAAATCTAAATGGGTGCACAAACATAATTTTGACTAGTCATAACTGATATAGATAAATATGGGTATACGTTAAATATTTCCAACATCGCATAGTAGATAATTTATAACCGTATGAGCAAGCAAAATATTAAAACGCGGAAAATAAACTAGTTCAGTGATAAAATGTTTGACTGAATAAACAACGGTGCAGAAAAGAAAACTTGGAACTTTATCTAGGCCCAGCAAAATATTAGTGTCATGTTCTGGTTCTGTCTTTCATTTAAGTTATTTGATTGACAATCTCTAGGCTGATTAACACACAACAAATAGACATGCTAGATAAAATCTAAAGCATTGAAGACCAATACTCTTTTGAGAGTAGGATCAACTTCGTATGCCGCCCGAAAGATTCTCAGTTTACTGATGGCCTCATAATTAGGATAGACAGGGAAAATATTTACTTTTGTATTGGTGTAAAATGAATAAACAAATACTTAACACAGAATCAGTAAGCCAAACTCAACGGAGGACTTTGCAAATGTACATAAGTTTAAGTTGTCATGTTTCCTCTAAACACGGCAAGATGAAATCATCAGAACAAAGCTCAGAGTAACAAAAGTAGTACAGCATTAGTGGTAACAGAAAAGATTAGGCACAAAAAACGAGATTTGATAAAATATCAATTGGATTTACAGACTTAGAATAGAAATAAAGACAAATGGTGAATGGAGGTAAATTGTAGTATCATTGTGTTTAATCTGTCCATGCATTAAGAACAGGTGAGCAACTTCAGATGACTGACACCTCATTAGTTAACTCCAGTAGTAGCACTGTTTTGTTTAAAAGACGATCACCTACTTTAATTCATATAAAAAGATGGAAACAGGATTTCTGATACATTCAAAGAACGTTAAATATATAGCACACGAATACATAATATATTGCATACCATGTGGTGTGACTTTTCTTTGACTGCAAGGTTTGGTCGCTACGTTGGCTACTTTTGAACTATAACGTTCGAAAGTTTTGGGTTCCGGGATATCAAAAACAAATCCAGAGACGGTACGTGGTATGAACAGACAGTTATAAAAGGGGGAGCGGGTGCGAACGAGAATATGTGAAAACCTTGATAGCATTCCATCAAATCCTTTTGATTTATCAGCGGTATACGATGATAGCAACAAACCAAGGAAACTAGGGGTTTTATATCCCGTGAGAGCTCCAGTACTGTTAGCTTTTTGTACTGGAATATCACAAGTTGTATTACCAGCTAACTTCGAAACACTACAATTTGAGCTAAAAAGCTGCGTTGTTTTTGACAGCAAATGAAGATTAGTTGGATTTGATCGGAAGCAGACTGTGGTATCTTGTACAATATCAGTGGTTTTAGAAGGCTTTTGTAACGACTGTTGAGTTGAAGAGGGTTGTGAAGTTAAGAGGTCAAGCAATTCAAAATCCAACTCCTCTAATCTTGATTTATTTACAGAAACTGTGTTGTTAACTAGCTTATTTTTCCCAATGACACTCGTGTTTAGAGGTTTAAAACTACCTACTATGTAATAAGGAAATAAAGCAATGTGATAACCCACTTGAGTCAAAAAGATCACTGTTGTCAAACACTTCATCAGAGCCACACACACCATTATTTTGACCCGTAACTGCGTTGGTTTTTGGTTGGGAGAAGTCAAATGCTTGGCAAGACTGTATTCTTCCAGATACATCTGCAGGAGAATCTTTAGTAGACAGTAAATAGTCAATATTGAAAAAAGGCAACCAACCTGGTTTTAAGTTCTTGGTTTCGTTTGCTGGGAAATCTTCTGCTGTGAAGCTTAATGGTTTGGGATTGATCAATGAAATATCCTGCTCGAATACATAGTCACGATTATATATGTATCGTTCTGAGGTGCTCGGGGATATTGTATAGTCATCATCAACTGAACTAGCGAAGGCTTCATCATATGTATCAACATCTATTTGTTAGTTCAATTTTTATCAAAACAATAGTAGCACATACCATCATCGCACAACGTTCGTATATTTCTGTGCCGGGACATGTAACGGAGGAATTACAAAGCTTCGCTGAATATCAGAACTTCTTAATAATTACTGGCTCAAAAATAGCGATGATTGTACATGAAATAAAAGAAACTCGGTTAACTTTGCCTAATAAGAGTGGATCCTCTGCGACTTCAAAGTCCAAAGAAGCCACAGACAATTTTAACTTCAGATATCGGTAAGTTTGCGATAACCCTGAAGGTACCTTATGAGCTGGAGGAGTGTGAGACTATCTGGAAGAAGAAAGATGAGCCGAATACTCAGTACGCAAATAGAATGTACCTACATTTATTAGAAAAATCAATCAACAACAATCCGAAACAACACATGCATCAGAATAAGACAAACTGATTATCGAGACTAGAAGTTAGTAGAGCAACGCTTCGAATGCATTACACAGTCATCTATTAAAAACCGCGCTAGAACCCTACTTGCTTCTCGATTGGTTGATTTTTGCCAGCATGTAAGTGGCAGTTGGATTGTTATCGATTGTGTTCTCTAGTTATAATGATTACTTCACCAGTATGTTTAATTCTTGATTGTTTTATGTTGAAAATAAGGTAAACAGAGGGATGAACGGGCCAAAAAGTTGCTGATTCTCCAGTCATGAGATAATGGTGCGAAATTTTCATTTTTGTGCCGGAAATGCCGCGAAGCTGTCTACGTATCGCCTATATTTACACTGACCTGTCTAATTAGGTTTAGTTTCGCTTTATTCTATAGAATATGATTAGCAGATATTTTGGACTGGACTCCTTCATAACTCTACTTATGTGGTGATTAGTAACTACATTTAATGTACAGTCAGATATTTTATGTTGTGTTCAGATATGTGATAATAATACAGTATGAATTCATACTGCTTGCTTCGAATTCGCGTCTTCCCTGGAAGCTTGTCGAAGTTATAGTAAAATTCTGATTATTCGTATTGCTAGATAATTTCAAATCCATATCTTGACTTGCTATACAACTCGATCCAAATAAACTAGGGAAACCGCTTATCAATGCTGCACGACGAGAAGCAGATTATTGAGAGTATTTTGATGCCTAATGTTTGTAACATTACATAGAGGAAAATTGAGTTTCAGCCCATTTCCTAACCTCCGTTGATATAAAAGCATATAGTTTGTTAGAGAAACTTACATATCTTGACTAAGCTATTCTACTCCTGATGGATCATTTTCGCGTAATAACATCCAGAGTGCAAGAAACAGCACAGTTCAAAAAGTCAGTTCATGCTCCTGTAGTGGAATACTTCTACGAAAAAAATATGATTTGTGAAAATTAAACATTATTGTACTCGTTTTGTTTAATTGTACCAGAAACACTTCCACTACTTCTTGCGCGCAACGTTCTCTTCGCGTTGCTGCCATTTTTCTCTATTTACTGTTCCCCATGTAATGCCAACGTTCTCCAGTAAAACCTTGGAATATAGATTTATTTTGCTTTTAATCATGACGGGATATCATGGAACATTTAGTGGTGAGCATAGTCTATCTGGTTTCTTGACTCGCTCACCACACTCCTATGCAAGCAATCAGAGAATCTTTACTGAAACTTCAGACTAAGCCTCTAAGTGCGATTTTTCGGCGATTAGCTGGAAATGCAACTGCACGACTGCCTAATTGTTGGAATAAATGATCCTAATATATATACAAGCAGTTGGTACAAATCCTTACTCGAGCCTTTCCTATGACTGTAGTCTTTTGTTTTCCCTATGAAGTTCTTAATATTGATGCACGTGATGTTACGAAGCAATTTGATGCCTCATCATTTGATGTAAATAAAACTACAGCTAACAAAGAATGTTCCATTTTATCCAGGCTAGTAAATGGCTTGAAGAGTATTTTACTTCAATTTTGCATGTTAAACTTTGTCTTTCATGTCTCAAACACGATATCTGTAACTCAGATCAGGTTCATTATGCTCGCTGCCGCAAACGTGTGAAGGCTGAATAAATGAAAGAAGTTTGTGAAGGTCCCAAGTTATTTCCTGAGGAAGCATTGAATGAAAAGGGGTCAAAAGCAGCTGATTCGGACAAAAGAATAAAATCATTATCGCTTGCAGCAGTATCTCACACAATCCAAAAATTACCAAAACAAACCAGTCCTATTTATTTACTGTTGATATCGGTAGCACAGAATCAATTATCTCTAAGAGAGATTTTCTGTTTCTTCATAAAAATGTCCATTTTAGGCCTATAAATAGTGCAACCCCTGAACACCAATTACTCATAATTGGCACATCAAGCATACCACTAAAGAAAGGAGGTTGGTCTGGGGTGCTCACATACGAATTCCTGCGATTCAAACTATATGTTTCCCCTGTAGTTATCCAGGTTATAGATCAGACTATTTCCGGCCTTTGTGGTGTTGAATTGTCTCAAGAAATCATTGTAATTGATGTCAAAAACATTGAGTTTCACAATGAAAGTCTTTAAAAATTAATTAGACACTTGCATTGGAAATATAGTTGTAAATCATTCCAGTTGTCACTTTCAACCTCATTATACCAACTGTCATGACTAGAATCTGGATGAATGCTGAAGGTTTCAAACCCAATATCAGTCTCCTAGCTTCAGTAACCTATTATCAATCATATATATAAATTTACGCCATTACCTAAACAATATTACAACGCTATTCCTTCAAGTATTCAAATAAGTGATATTCTATCCCTCTTATAACACATTGTTTCCAATTCTGGAAGAGTGTTCCGACTTCCACTCCGATTCACACACTTCCAGTCAGTGTAAGAAACATAGAAACTCAATTAAGGCACAAAAATGGAAACTGTAATAAAATACAAATATTGTCATCCTGAAATGGAATCGGACATATTACCAAAATGTAGAACTGAAAGAATCAATAAGGACATATTAAAAAATGCACACATGGAGGGGGGCATACCGACTCACAAACAACTGCCAACTGACTAGAACTATTACAGCCGAATGACCAAACTACCATCAACTGGGCACTATTAGATACCCGGAACGCTGCCGAAAGAAGACTCGAGAGCAAAGAAATCAATTTATTTATACTATCTCTTGAAGAAAATATCGGGTATTGGAAGTGTTTCAGAAATGATATAAGTGCTTTGAAGAGGTCATCCTCACTTCGTTCATCTAGGGACAGAAAAAATCTATTAACTTGCTTGTCAGACTTGCTGGTGGTTTGCGACAGATGCGGATATCAGTCAAAAATAGAAAAACTGTCCTGCTTATTTACGCTAGTTCTCATTCAACAAAATAAATCTGAATTCTCAGCCTACATCATATAAACCGTGGCAATGTAATCGTGTCGATTAATACGGACCATTTCTAAACTCATATTATGTTACAATTACTACTGATTCATAATCAAAATGGCCAGAAGTAATACTTTAAAACAGTCCTAGAGAAAACTTTATTCAAAGAGTAATGAGGGGGATATTTTGTCAATAAGGCAAACCCAACTCGTTAGTAGAGGATAACGATACTTATTTCACAGAAAAAGAATTTAAGAGTTACCCTAATGATACTTGATGCCATCATCTATTAATTGCTTTACAATATACTTAATCTAATGGATTAGCAGAAAATTTCTCCCGAACTTTAAAGGGTGCGCTCGGATTAGTAAATCCAGGTAATCTAGATGGCATATAAAAATGTATTGATGTCATAATGCAGAACATTCGTTCGTTTCGTTAGATTATTTCAAGTTCATAATTTGTTAATTTAATTCTAGAATTTACTTAGTGATACTGAGGACTGACCCGCTAAGTGAATTCCTTTACAAGCATTTGAATCTTTTAAATCTGACATGCAAAACATTTTCGTTCACATTTCCCTTATGAATGCATTCAGGCAAGTTAAGTGAACGCTGGATGAGACATTATAACATCATCGATGGCCAAAAGGATACTGTGCACGTGCTAACAAAAACATGTTTCAAGTGTATCTTCAAGTATTAAGTTGTAGTTCACAAGCCGCACACAATGGTATCCATATCGGGAAGTCATTTACCACTTTGACGTAATATAAAGGCAGTAAACTTAAAATTTATTCGGTGTGGAAGAGTAGAGAAATTCGGGGTCATAATGCTATTCAATTCCAGTAATCCTTATCAAATTAGTCGACCACTTCATTCCAAATTTAAACAATAGTTAAAAGAATTTTGGTACCAAGTTTCGATGGGAGATTAACATAGACGTCTTATTGTAGTCACTACCGTTATCAAAGCGACTGTTCCAAAGACAATTGGTTCTCTACTTCTATCTTGAATTTAGATTGGAGACTGGAGATTTTATGTTGAAAGTTTGTTACGCTAAATGCAAGTTTAAAGCGAGGTGACCCTCGCGGCAATAAGCGACCTTCAGAACCGGATTTGGCATGTCCTTTGGTGAGTGTGTTATGGATGTTGCGAATTAAGTCCTTTCAAACACCGTATGAAGTATTAAAAATATTGTAGAGTGATATTTATTACATAATCAGGTTTGAAGCTTCATGGTTCTCGAGTTGCCAATTTTGCTTAGTCACTAAATCTTGTCACCTAGTGCAGTTGGTGAAGGGCAAAAGTATATTGCCGCACTAGGTGTTGGAGATAAATGAATCACCATTTGTGATTAAATAATCGTACATTTTTAATCTAATCCTTATTCCCAGCATAATATTCACTCCTGTGTCTTCGGCGTCTCCTGATTGGCCGAAACGGACTACACAAGTTCGTTCGGTAGTATACTTCGGGTTTACCGGTTTGTGAGTATCTCAGCAACTCCATTCTGAAGATAAATCGTGCCCGTTGACAGTACTTGAATAGTAAAGATTTCAAGTATCTGAATTCTACTGTGATCAGTCTTAGAGTTTGTTCTAAGTTTTGGTACTAAGTAGTACATACATTTGTTACTAGGTTGTGTTATTACCCTCAAAATCTGATTAGTTGTGTTTGTTTTAGATCACTCTTCTGTATTATCTATTCTTCCGCTTGTGTTCTTAATTTATGTTGCATGCTTTGGTAGACTTTTCTCGAAATCTTAGCTGATTGTCCAACAAGGCACTATTAAGTTTGTGCTTATTTCTCGAAAGTTAATTTTAATGCTAAAAACGTAATTTGAACAGTCCACCATCTCTGTTTAAAGTTAGTATTGGGAACAATAATACTATGTTTACTAGGTCGTGGATTGCAGTTGACTTACGAATCTTTACCACCAACTGTAAATTTTTGTCCGACTTTGAAACTCAGTTATGCGTGCTTAGTTAGAAAACAAATGGTTGTCATTTCAAAACACTGGATTAGCCTCGGTAGCTCTGAAGTAAAACAAACCTGGTACATATGTTCATCCTTTCAGGTTTCCAAAGCACGTCAACAAAGATGGATAAGGTTATCTGTTTGAGCCTTGTAGAAAAGTCAAGGGGAGACTAAATTTTTACTCGCATCCCAAAAACATTTAGCTAGTGTCATCAACCTGCATAAGGAGTATGGCTCAAAGCCGAATACGCTAACCTGTTTGCTAACTGAGGCGCATGTCCAAACTTAGAACATATTATTTTGCTCAGCATTTCGTTCCGTCCTACTTTGTGGCTGCGAAGCATGACCAGTAAGAGTAGAAGGTATTCGTAGGTTACTCGTCTCCGATCGTAGGTGTCTCCGAAGCATTGCTCGTTTATCTTGGGACTATTGAGTAAACACTACTATTGTTAGGAAATAGGTGTTGGGTAAGGACAGCAAATAAAAAGAGGAAGTACTGAAACTTTATCAGTTTGAGACGTGTATTACGAATGCCCAACCACCAACTGTCTCTTCAAGCTATGTTTTGTGATATAATAGTTGGTTGGAAGAAAGGTAGGGGCGGCCAGATCAAAACATGGCACAAATCCATGAAGACATTGACAACTGGACTGATCGATGTTAGTAGGTTTTGGGTCTGCGATATAATCGTAACCGGTTTTTAGAATATGGTTCATCGACTAATGAGGTATTGAGTCTTCATCTATTGAGTTGGTTTGGACATTTTTGATCTCCTATTCATTTCGATTACCACTACAACCTCTACTACTCTGGAATTAGAATGGACAATTGCGTCTACGTGCTAATGCGGTATGGCAACTTAAACTTATGTATGTGCGTACGAAGTTCTACGTTGTAGCTCACTGACTGACTTATTGACCCACCGAAAAGTATAAATATGCACTGACTACAATTGCGTGACTCCACGAGGATGGCGAGCAAAGTCGTGTGTGGTTTCGCTCAACGTCCTGCTTATAGGCACTGAGTCTTGAACGATGGACAGAGAAACTATCAGGGGTGTTCTGCTCACTTCTCTACCCTACAGGTAGAGTTCGTAATATTATAGGAAATAAAAGCGAATGTCCGGTGGGGTTTAACTTGGATCGATGGACACAGAGGAGTTGAAAAACTGTCTTTCCAAACAAATGGTTCACATGGGTTGCAAGATTCTGACAGGGCGAGTGGCGTATGAACCTACTATATAGTTGTCGGTTACTATGAGACTTCATCTTTCGAGTTTGCTCCACTGTCTTTTGGGTTAGAACTTTGGATCAAATGCTCAGGGAGTATCCTCTTGATAAAACCACCTAGTACAATTTGGGCGTCTAGTCAGTTTTCCGCCCTATTCACAAATCCAGTAATTTTTGTGGCACATAAATATTTAGGTGTCAATAGGTGTCAACAGTATTGCTTACTCGGTTGTCCCAGGATACACGAGCAGTGCTTTAAGACATCTATGATCGAATAGTAGTTACCTCCCAGTATCCTCAACTGTTACTGACAATGTTCCCTACCCACATAGTAGGACGGAGCGAACGCCTGCACAGTAAACTCGTCCTTTGGTTAGTAAATGGATATTTTGTCTACGCTATAAGTGACGCAAGTTGGCAAAAGCCAATCGAGCCTTCTGTATCCTTGCTGAGATTTCGTCAGTCACCAGGCCATCAGCACTGATGATACTTCCAAGGTAAGTGAAGCCGTCTACACGCTCAACTACTTCACTCCCTATCACTAGTTCAGGTGCCGATGCAACCCAATCCTGAAGCATCACTTAGCATTTCGACAGGGAGAATCGCATTCCGAACATGCTTGCATTGTTGCTTAGGGTAGTCAGGAGACACTGCATCTTGTCAGCGTCTTTATCAAGTAGAACTATCTTATCAGCATAATTAAAGCAAACAAGTGCACTTCTCCGTAGTTGGTCAACTCCTGAAAAGTCGGACGATGAAAGTGTCGTTTCACACAGCCTCTCTATTTGAAGCTTTTCCGAATGTTAGGTGCGCTCTTTTTTCAGTGGCCCCACCTCCGGAGATGGAAATCCGTGAGGTAAGGTGAGGTGTCACATTTTTAGGCTCAACCTTTTCTAATCCCTTGCTTCCTTGTGAAAATACAGCATCGGTGCAGATCCTGGTTGTCCATGGTAAACTCCTTACTGCTGTCACACCCCTTTACGGTCAGCAGTACGATTTCTTTGTCAGACTTTGAGTAGCTGCTTTTAGTCTCATCGTTCTACAACCGACCCGCTTGACATGGTAGAACCTATGGGAGCACGTATCCTAGCAAACAACTTGGTTGGGTCATCACGATAGGCAAGCCCAACCACAACATCAAGGTGGCAGCTACGGTCGGGTAGGAGACACGCATATGCTGCTGGTGTCTGTGACTTTCCGTCATTATTGTTGTGTTTCGGATCCACAAATTAAGTAATTTAAGGTGCTATAGTGTTAGGTAAATGTAGTGAATCAATTGATTAGATCGTGTACTTCCACCCATTACGGCTTTCGATTTTCATTATCCCCTTTTTAACACCTATTGTATGATAGTGTTTATTTCTTTAGATTTTTGAGAAACTATCACACAATAGCAGTATTTAAGTCTTCTTTGATATTGACCATCTATTAGGATTGATTAAAAGATGGACTGAATTTTATGAATTTGTGTCTCTCTATATAATCTGTAAATTTATTTTCACTGTTGAACACAAGATAAAATCCTTCATTTGTGAATTTATATTTATTTGAATTTCTGTATAATTGTATTAAAATCAGATTTTCTTGTTTGTTTTTAAGAAAAAAACATTCCTAACTTTACAGGCTAACAAGTTACTGATAAAGCAAAATCATAACTTATTCGTTATTGTGATATGAATGGCGTAAAACGTTCATTTAAGTTATCTACATTTTTAATTTCCACTGGAGTTCCTTCATTCGATGAGTTACTTGGTAAGAATTTATTTTTTTAAAAAAAATCTCATTCTCATTTAATATTTACAGGTGGTGGTGTGATTTTAGGAAGTATCATTCTTATTGGTACAGTATTTACAAACAAAATTTATTTTTTTTCCAATTTCAATTTTGATTTAAAGAACCAGATTTTCATCAAACCTATGCAAAACTTCTTCTAAATTTATTCACAGCAGAAGGTATCATATCAGGTCATAGTATATTCTATGGTGCAACTGAGACATTGGACAATTTACTATGTGTAAGAATAATTTTAAAATATATATTATGATAACCAATTATATTTTTGTAATATTTTAGAAATTACCAGACTGTACAAATTCTGTTGATGAAGTGAAAGAAGAAATTTCAGATCTTAAAATTGCTTGGCGTTATCAAAATAATCCTAATACTAAGGTTTTAATTATCGTTTTTAATTCCTATCTATAACATTTCACTTCCAGAATGTAAATTCATCTGCGTCAAATTTTGGACATCATTTCAATATGTCTGTCCCAATGAATACAGCTGCTCGAATAGCTGAAAAGAATGTATCAACTTTTTATTTTCAACCGGATAGTAGAAAAGCGTAAATAATACTTGCTTTCTAAAGTTTCTCTTTTTATTGTTTGTTCTAGATTGCATATTAACCTCTTTAGTTTAATTAGAAAATTAATTAATTTTCTATCAACTGCAAAAATGTCTTCAGGCATACAACGGATAGGTTTGTATTTTGTTGTTCATTCATCTACAGCATCCGAATTACTTTATCTTTAGTGCTAAACTCATTTGGTTCTCCAATGTGGGGTTATTGCAAAGATACTCAACAGTTCTACAAGAATATGCTTAGTTTCTTTGCTACTTTACGCCAGCTTATTCAAAACAGTCGCTGTACAGTTTTCATCACATTACCTACAATAAAGGTAAGCTTTTGCCTTAAGATTCTTCCTCTATTGGTTCTGTCGTTTATCATGCTTTTTGGATGTATTTAATTCCATATTTCTTATTATTTTTAATACAACTGCATCGTTGAGTAAGGCTGCTGAATGATCAAGCTGGTCCATTAAAACGAATATTATTTAATTAAGAATGCCACTGTAAATACCATCGCTTGTGAACCGACTTTGGTTAATATTTCGTTCTCAAATATCTCCTAACAATGTTCATATGAAATAAAGCAACTTAGATTAACAAACATTTATACCAGGTTAAGAGTGTATTTTAATGACTGACCAATCAAAAATCATTCAAGTATTATTATCTGCATCAAACAAGGGAAAAAATTATTGTTTCATGTAAGCAAAATATATGATTGTTGAGATAACGGACGATCTCGATTGGCTTGTTTAGTTCTTAGCATATTTTTTTGGTGTATGGGTTGAGTCTGTAGCTCCTTATTAATCACATAGTATTCTAGCGATGATCCTTACAAGCAAACATCATGTCAGTGATTTTGACAAATCTGAAATTTCTTCATATATCTAACCATTATTTAAATGCTGCCAAATATCCTGGTCCGCCAAGAGTGGAGAGAGACCACTTCCTTTTGAAAAACGCCCTCTCGTAACCACGCATATGTAGCTACTGTCAGGAAAGTCCTACTCACTTCTCTATCGTAGAGAGGGTGTTGTCTACAATATTGGAGGAGACATAAGTGAGTATCCGACGTGGTTTAATCTGAGTTGGTGGAAATGGCAAATCCACTCAGAGGAGTTGCAAAACTCACATGAGCCCCAGCATCCTGATGAAACAAATGGCGTATGAATGGTCACCAGCTACTATGAGACTAACAACTCCTAGCATTGCTTCACTGTCTTTTGGATTGGACCTTCAGGTCAGATGCTCAGGGAGTGACCCTTTAAGAAAACCACTTAGTTCGGTTTGGGCACTCAGTTGGTATTCCTCAGAGTAATGAGTGTCGAAATGATATAGCTGATAGATAACCTCTCATGAGAAATAAGCACCTTAAACGAATCTGTTTCAATGAACAACAGAATAAGGCTGTTTTTCAGCAACTTAACATGCTTACTTACTTACTCCTGTTACCCCGAATGGAGCATAGGCCGCCCACCAGTTTTCTCCAACCTGCTCTGTCCTGGGCTTACCTTTCCAGTTCTTTTCAGTTTTTGTTCATTCTTCTCATGTCTTTCTCTATTTCTTGGCGTAATGTGTTCATTGGCCTTCCTTTTTTCGTTTTACCTTAAGGGTTCCTTGTGAGAGCTTGTTTTGTGACGCAGTTAGGTGCTTTTCGTAGTGTGTGTCCTATCCACTTCCACCGCTTCTTCCTGATTTCCTCCTCCACTGGAATCTGGTTTGTTTTCTCCCACAGTACGTTGTTGCTGATGGTGTCTGGCCAGCGAATCCGAAGTATTTTGCGTAGACAACTGTTAATTAATACTTGTATCTTCTGGATGATGGCTTTGGTAGTTCTCCAAGTTTCCGCACCATACAGTAGAACTGTCTTGACATTTGTATTGAAAATCCTGATTTTGGTTTTGGTTGAAAGTTGTTTGGAGTTCCAGATGCTGTCCAAATGCAGTCCCTGCTTTGCTGATCTGCGCCCCCACATCTGCATCGGATCCACCTTGGTTGTCGATGATGCTGCCCAGATATGTAAAAGCGTTAACGTCCTCCAAGGCATTTCCATCTAGAGTGATTTGGTTGGTGCATGTTGTGTTGTATCGTGCTTATATACCAGTAAACGTAACCAGATATTACTTAACAGAGCTGTCAGGCTTAATTAGTGCCCATTAATATCAATAAGCCATTTCATCAAATATAGCTGGATGATTTGTTTCTGAAACATATAAAAAACATGAAACACCTGTCATTGTTTATTCATTTAAACTTTTCCAGGTTGTCTTTTATGACCATTCAATTCATTTTGTATTTGTTTTGCCTATCCAATGACTAGGCATCGTCTCTCACAAATACTTGATCATTAGTATTCCCTAAGCACTATTTATGTGTTAGTGTAACTACCGATTCACGAATGTTAAAGTTCAGTGTAATGGAATAATAATAAATAAGTCAATCAAATCATAAATCTTTGTAGTAGGTAGAGATGTATTTTGTGTACTGAACTACTTACTGTCTTAGTGAATGGTGATTAATAAACGATAAGCTTAGTAGTAAAATCACTCAGCTGATTCGAAATTTCCTCTATTTGCCATGGTTTATATATTTGGGTAGTAGGATCACTCATTCCTACATTGTGTATGTACATTATAAAATGTACTGGATTAATAAGATTAATTCGTGAACAAATCAATTGACCGAAAAATGATGATCATATAATAATAACATGTCACTCATCTGTCAAAATAACTGAATATCGATTGGATTTATCTAAACAGAGGTCAGTTTAATTAATTGAAACTTTAGATACTGAAAATAATCACTTGTTAACTTCAAATAATTTATACCACGATCAGTAACTTGAATGTGCTCATTATATTTGTTAGTAAGCTTTAAACATTTAATTTACATCTTTATTTGTGTCTAATTATACGTAACATCGTTATCAAGCATATAATATTAAACTTCAATTTATCTGTCGGTAGTAAGTAAAACATTTCTGTTTAGACATAATGTGTACGTATGTTTTGTTTATTGACATTGTTCATCGTTTAGCTACCGCCTGGTCTATTAACTCGTATCTCGCATTATTGTGATTATGTATTTCAAGTACAAAGTCTAAGTGATCAGATACAGGCAAATCCAGTGTATTCTGAATATGATGGTCTACTCACAGTGAATCGCATTCCTTGGTTAGTTAGTGGCAATACACTTGAACCAGCTTTCAGATCAACTACACTTGAATGGTGTTTCAAAATAAAACGTCATCAATTAATTGTACAGGTGAGAATTACCTTCAATTACACGTCTTTACATTTTTTTTTCAAACGCAAGTTATTTCTAAAAAGATCACATTCCATACAAAGTTTATATTTAAGTGATATTGATTTGTAAAATGTTCGCTGAGAACTATTATATAATGTTCATTACATTACATTAAAAAAAACTAACGTAGACTAAAATCTCAATCTACAGAACAATCCCATGATCGAGTACTAGTAACCCACTATTATCCTTGCTTAAGCTGAACAGAAAACTGTATTTTATCAGTGTCTTCACCAAACAACTAAACCATCTGCACATTTGAAGTCAACAAGTAATTCTCTTAGTGGAAGTTCAACACCTGAGAAGTCACACGATGAGTATAAAAGCATGTCTGTGTCAAAGTTAACTAGATATGTGGTGGGCGAACAACCTTGGCGGAAATCTTGAAATTATCAGTTCTGGTGAAAGTTTCCAATTAGTTATAACTCACTCGACTAGTAGCTTTCGAGTAGAGAGCCTTTACTTCCTTGGTATGATTTTCAATGACAGAAAATGAATAAATGTGAATAGTTGATCTATACATGTACATCCAGGTCGGAAACCATCCTGGTTTTCTGGAGTCTCTTCTTCTAGTTGACAACTACTGACATGGCTAAGTCCACTCGTCAATGACTTCATGGATTTCTGCCATGTTTTGGTCTGGCCGCCCCTAACTTTCTTCCAACCTATTCTTACACTACAAAACATAGCTCGTCGAGGCAGTCGGTGGTTAGGCATATATAAGGTGATATATAAGGTCATATAAGGTGAACTGATGAAGTGTAGCCACTTGCACAGATGCAAACGTATGTCAAGTTCAATATTGTTTAATGACTAACTGATAGATGATATTCATGTTATTGTTCTTTAAATGATTCAACTGTTGATTGGTCCAAACTGCAGATTGACAGATATGAAACTTAATTTTTATACTAATTATGAAGCTAAATGTAATTTTTTTTCCTAACCAATAAAGCTATCATTCTCAAATTTGTTTAATGGCATAATATTTCCCTAGACAAATATTACAAACTAATCAAACTGTCTTATTCACTGTTTTCCTTTTTTTGTTATTCCACAGCATTTTCACTTACCACCTTGTCTATCCGATACAGTAAATAGATCCAATGCACCGGAAACAATTTTCGCATGTTCTACATCGCGTCAAAATCAGTTGGAATTTTGAATTTGCCTACATACTACTCCTAATACTACTACTACTACTACCATAGAAAACAACGGAGAGAAAGATCAACAAACCTGTTTCTTTTTTGTTTTGTACACTGTTATTGAAATAAATTCACATAACAATTCTTATTATTCTTTCTGATTGAATTGTCGTTATTTATCGTTACTGATAGACTGTTGGCAAATGTATTTGTATGTTTATTTTATGGATGAAATGGAGATAAATTGATTCGCTGTGAAGTATGGTCACTTGCCGAAACACTGAACAAAATTTTTTTTAATTGTTAGATCATGTCAACAATACACATTAGTGATGTTTTTGTTTTATATTCTCTCTCTCTCTCTCTCTACTCTCTATAGTTTATCATTTCCCTTATTCAGAGCTATGATTTTAATTATTTATCATATCGACATTAAACATTAACCATTTTTATAACTCAATAGAATAAATTTTGACTGTGTTATCGGTTATTGCTAATCGCCTACCAAACATGTACAGACTCATATAATCGGGTTTAAGTCACAATCAAAAGTGTAGTATCTAGTGCTACCACCTGGTTACTTAAACCACCAAAGGTGGGACTGCTGGATTCAAACCTGTGACCGGAAGTTGAACTCACTAACCACTGAGATAGATTAGTTAGTTAGATGACATTAATACCATATGTTTTGTTCAGCAAGTTTTTTTTTTCATATTACAACCTTTTTCCTTTGTTATTTCCATGAGGTTTTGTACGGGAAAATTTTTACAGAGACGTTATTTTGAAATTTACTGACATCTAAATGGTAACCAATATACTATACTTTTTCAGTTCTCACTAGTACTGATCGAATCCTGTCGACCAAGTTGCAGAGCGGTCTCACTAATCTAAGTGATTCTGTGCTGTGTACACTATGTTTTAATGTCAGGTTGTTAAGAATAGTAGACCTGAATGTGTGCATCATAAGCGGTGATTAGTATGCCCATCTTTTGACCACCCCGCTGCACATGATTCAGTTTGGGGGTGTCAGTAACACATTACATCTGTTATCCCTCATGGGGAACAGACCGAAATCTTCCAACCGATTATATCCTGAACTTTTCTTTCCAGTTGTTCCCTAGTGCTATTCATTCTTTTAATGTCTCCCATCGAATCCCGGCGCAATTTAGCTTATTCTCTTTTCTTTCACTTTGAGGATTTTAAATTAGGGGTTGCTTTGTAATGCGGCTTCGTGGCTTCGTGACTTTCATGGCTTTCACTATAAGAATCATAAATCTGGTAAATAAATGTCTTACAAATCCCATAACAGGGTTTAAATAATGTAAGCGATTGTTTTTGATTAGCGTTTTCATTAAAAAGTTTTTTTTTCACGGGATAAGGTTGCTTACCCCATGTCTACTCCTCTTCCTTTATGCAAGCCCTGGGACCGACAGTAACCACAAAGGGCCTCCAGGTGGAGTTTCAGTAGCATCAGTAGTATAGTATAGTATAATAAAATTGCATTAATCAACTGAATTAACGAAATTTCCTTATTTATTTATCATTTAAAGAATATTACTTGTTCTATCTATTTCAATTCAGGCAACCACGTTGTACTTATAAAGCTTACACAATGTGTGTGTGTGTGTATGCGAATGCTTAGCAACAGTCATGAATACGAATATGTATGTGATAATTTTCTCCACATTATTGTATTTTTTTTGTTCATTGTAGTCATTATGTGTTGTGGAAAAATTGTTTTAAATCATAAAAGCATTTTCTTTTTCATGTAAACCTATTCACAACAACATTAGAGAGAATATCAATGATTTACAATGTATCCTCTAATTAAATGAATTAGAACAATACAAAGACATAGTGGTTAAATTAAATTGTGAAAATTACTTATTTTCTCTTTTAAAATTCTTATTTCATGATTAGAAATGTATACGAAATATGTTGAACTGTAGACAAGTGCATATTACAATTTACATATGTATATATAATGGTAGACATGTTGATTGCCTTATCTCATAAATCTGTCTGAGTTCATATCATATAACTGAATTGAACAATTCCTTATCTTCTTATCTTATCTAATCGTTTTTGTTATTTTTTAAATTTTGGTCTGCAACATTTTTCAACAATATTACAACAACAATAGCAAAACAACACAACTAATATCAAATTAACCTTTAAAGATGAACCAATAAGAAACAAGAAAAGAGATATGGCGTAAATATTGAGTTAAGATTAGGAATTACTGATAGAAGTTTTCATCACAGATTGACATTACGAATTCTAATATCATACATATCCTAAACCTTGTTCCTACCATGATAAGTCATTCATTTACCTCCGATATCTTCTGATTAACCAAAACCTGAAGGTCATTCAGTTGAATACTTAAAGTTTAACCTAATATCAACCTAATATCAATGCGTGTTTGTATTTCACTATTTGTAAATCATATATTTTTTTGTTGTTTATATTATTTTGTTGTTATATCTAGTGATTGTTGCCAATGGTTACCACATTGTAGTTGTTTATAAAAAATTATCCTGTGAATAGTGTTTCATTTGTCTGGTTCGATTAATTTAACAAACTATTGTGTCCAATTTTTGTTTACTTGTTTATAATCAAGTCAGTGAAACTTAGTTCTTATTGTTTAGTATTCTTTTTTTTTGCGTTCTATTATATCGACTGACTAATCAATCGGAAATAATAATTTGTAAAGCAATAATTCAGCGTTTCATTCGATTTTCTCAATGGCTGAACTGCGAGTTCGCGAACTCTTACTTTTTCTAAATATTTTTTTTGAGAAGCTAAACCGCTAATATGATTTACTTATTCCTGTTACTCCCAGTGGAGCATAGGCCACCGATAAGCATTCTTCAGTCTACTCTGTCCTGCGATTTTCCAATTCTAACCAATTGTTGTTCATTCTTCTCATGTGTGTTACCGATTTCCGGCGTAAAGTGTTAATTGGTCTTCCTTGTTTCCTTTACTTTTGAGGGTCTCAATTTGGGGCTGATGTAGTTGGATGATTTGCTCAATGTGTGTCCTATCCATCTTTAGTGCGTTTTCCTGATTTCTTCTTCAGTTGGAATCTTCCGTGTTTTCTCTCACAGTAAACTGTTGTTTATAGTATCTGGCCAACTGATGAGGAGTATCTTGTGCGAAAACTGTTAACCGAATATTCTTCAATTCTAGGAATGCTGCCCTTGCTTTCCCAGTCCGCGCCTTCACATCTGCATCATACTCACCTTGCTCATCAGTTATGCTGCTCAGATATGTAAAGGTTTCTACATCTTCCATAGTTCATCCGTCGATTATGATTTGGTTGGTGCATGTTGTTTTGTATCGGAGGATCTTGCTTTTTCCTTTGTAAATGTTGAGACTTACTGCTACAAAGACTCCCGCTACACTGGTCGTCTTTGTCTGCATTTGTTGTTGCATGTGCTATATAAGATCTAGATCAACTTCAAAGTCTAGATCGTCCAGCTGCATCCGAGCTGTCCACTGTATTCCGTGCTTCTCTCCAAATCTTGACGTCTTCATTGTCCAGTAAAATACCAGGAAAAAGAGAAAGAGTGAGCGTAAGCAGCCTTGCTTGGCACCGGTCTTCATTTTGAACGAGTCTGTGAGCTGTTCTCCGTGCACGATTATGCAATTTAATCCATCATAAGAATTCCGTATTATGTTAACTGTCTTCTCAGGTACGCCATAGTGACAAGCCTCCATAGTGTCATCCTGTCCACGCTGTCGAATGCTTTCGCGTGGTCAATATAGTTAATATATATTGGTGGATTCCATTCAATAGATTGTTCTAAATGATCCATAGTTTCACGATTCAGTCGGTACACAGTCGATCATCACGGAATCTAGTCACTTGATCTCGAAGTTGGATGTCTACCGAGTCTTTCATTAGGTATCTTAATAAGGTTTCCTTCTTCTCCCCCTAATCTTGCTGAATAAAATGTAGAGTATCTTTGCAATTACTGTTATGTTTGCTTTCCGTGAATCACTCATCTTCACTTATACTAAGTATATCTCTAAACCAACTACTTAACCCTATATTTTTCAGATTGAGTTATTACAAGCAGTCCATACAATCTTAACTTAATAAAACCAAAGGTTATAGGCAATATAGATCTATTCATAAAACTCATATGTCAGTGATAAATAATGACCTTCACCTTATCATACCTATCCTGTTCACATACAATATTCACACTTTGTACACTGATACATAGATTTTTCGTGAATGTATACATTTCACAGTGTTTATGTTACTATCTGCTTTTCATCTTCGTGATAGAATTTTATATAATAGTCGAAATTATCATTTTAATTAATTAGAAGTTTATATATTTGCTTTACTTACAAACAGCATTCACATGTATACTGAATTGTTTGGTGTCTTTCAGTAAAATTGCTATTTAAACTCGTCTTTTGAAAAAAAAATATTATGTCGTATACAACTGAGAACGATTCATCTGATCATCAACATCCATGTGATGAGCATATTTCACTTGGTGATGAAGATGATGGTGGTAATTCTAATCTTACTTTATCTAATGAAGCACAATATGATCCGAATTTAACTGGTGCAGAATATTATCAAACTGGCGGTTATTGGCATATTGGAACACAAATGATGGATTGTTTATTTCAAACTGATCGAATTGCAGATGTAGCTTTTGATCCTTTAGAAGAATTAATCTGGTGTGTAACACGTACAGTAAGTGATTAGTGCTAATCAATAAATCAATAAATGTTACTCACTGATTATCCTTTTCATCTTTTGTAAGACAAACTAATTGTGAATTGTGTTTCTTTATTATTGTTGTTATTGTTGTTGGTGATGTTATTTCATTTTTCATGTTGATTAGTAGAACTTTAAATGGAAGATAGGTTATATCAATCATGCATTAGTGTTCTGTCAACTTTATGAGTTAGTGATTTGTGCATCTTCATTTATATTCGCACCTCTAGTAGGTGTTTTATTGGGTGATATCTTATCACGTGGTTAGTTAATCGTTATATCTGGCTGTTTCTTAAGTTGTGTTCATACCTCTTGACCATAAATTGACGTGATACATAGGCTTCTAGAAAGGTTTTACCATTTTTTTGATGATTAGTCATTTCAGGTTGCCATACCACTTTAGTGCATAGAAGCAATTGTCAATTCAATGGTAGTAGAAGTATTACTGGTGATGGAGAAGATTAGGGTTCGTAGATATTATTTAAAAAGCATAATTCAGTGAGACAAGTTTCCAAAGAGAAAGACAGGTGATGACTAATTCAGAAGCTTAAAATTTCATAGAACACAACGAGTGGATGCATCTGCGCCATTGCAAACGATTTTGAGCCATGTCATTCAAGGTCTCTAACCATCGGTTACTATCGTCTCGCGGACCCCAACCAGGTAGTCTACATCTACCAACATGACTCAGTCCACTTGTTAGTGACTTCATGGATTTCTGCCATGTTTTCGTTTGGATACCCCTAGCTGTCTTCCAACCTACTACTTCGCTAAACAGCTCGTCGAGGCAGTCGGTGGTTAGGCATACGTAACACATGTCCCAACCACCTCAACTGATGAAGTTTCAATACTTCATCTATTGATTTGCTATCCCTACACAGTACTCGTTTCCTAACAACAGCATTGCTTACTCGATTGTCCCACGATACGCGAGCAATGCTTCTAAGACATCTATGATCAAAGACTAGTAACCTACGAATATCTTCTACTCTTATTGGGAATGTATCCATATGGGAATGCATCTATATGGTAGAACGGTGTGAACTACTGCGTGGTAGACCCGACCTTTAGTTAGCAAACAGATATCTCGCCTACGCCATCAGTGACGTAAATCGTCAAAAACCAATCGTCAGTCACCAGGCAATCAGCACTGACGAGACTTTCGAGGTAAGTGAAGCAACATTTTGCATTTCGAAGGTGAGAAGCGCATCCCGAACATACTTGCATTGTTGCTTATGGTGTCCAGAAGACCCTGCATTATGTCGGCTTCTTCACCAAATAGAACTATGTCATCGACGTATTCTAAGTCAACAAGCAAATCTCCTGGTGGAAGGTCCACCTCTGAAAAGGCAGACGAGGATAATGTTAACTCTAAAAGGATGTCTACGACAAAGTTAAACAAAAATGGAGAGAGTGGACAGCCCTGACGGACACCACTTGATGTAGAGAATTCAGATGACAGTTCGCCATAAGCTCTCACTCGACCAGGAGTGTTCGAGTAGAGAGCTTGTATGAGATTAATGTACTTCTCTGGTACACCTTTCAATGACAGGCACTGCCACAGAACCTCAAGATCCACAAAGTCAAATGCCGCCTTCAGGTCCAGGAAGACAACAATTGTAGGACGCCTGAATTCTTGTCTGTGTTCCAGGACCTGTCTTAGTGTGAAGATGTGGTCTATACAGTCACGTCCAGGTCGAAAACTAACCTGGTTTTCTCTAGTCTGCTCTTCACGAGCTTTCGTTAAGCGCTGAAGTATTATTGAGGCCAATATTTTAGATACTATATTAGTTAGACTTATTCCACTGTGATTGTCACATGAAGACTTTTGTCCTTTCTTATAGATTGGGACAATCAGTGATTGAGACCACTCAGATGGGTTTACACATAGTTCTCAGTTCCTACCTATGATCTTAGTCAATCTAACTGTCAAAACTGGACCACCATCCTTAAAAATCTCAGGAGTAAACCTATTAGGCCCTGCTGCTCTCCCTCGCTTCAGATTTCCTATAACTTTCTCAACTTCGTAAAGACTCGGAGGACTTATATCGATTTGCCATTCAGGATGACTGGAGATCTTGGGCAAATGATTTCTAATAATCAGTTCATGTTAGAAGAAGGATTTTATAAATCTGATTTCAAACTTTTATTATATATCTTGTACAAACAAACTTCCTGCTTTATCACATCCTAGGTTTCTGTCAGTGCTCAGACCCTACCACTGGTCACGGCTTCTCACTAGGACTCCGAGAATTACTTCACGAAGCTAGTTATTAATGAGCACCAGTGCAGTTCAACCCTGTAGGTTGTAGGCATTTACTACCGAAGACAATGACTTATCCAAGTTAGACCTTAAACTGTTGAGTGCTGTCTCAATGGTCTGGAGGTCGAGCGTCTGCGTGCGAGACTTAGGGTCTTAGGTCCGATTTTTGTGAGTAGCGGGAGTTGTGGATGCTGACTGCTGAGGCCTCCCGTACTAGAACGAAACAACCATCCAATGCTTCCAGGTTTCTGATGGTAGTCTAACAAAGATTGATTCACGATTTTAGTGATAAACAGTTACGTTTCTTTTCGAAGACAATCTTTGTTTAAACGAAATACAAATCAAAATTATATTTTATACAATAATTCCTACTAAATAAATCCATGTTATTCTTAAATTGTGATAAATTTTTGTGTTGACTAGGAATTAGAATTCAATTTCTTAATTCAAAATATCAATTTCACTTTAGTCATTTAAAGTTTAACAATTGATACAAAGACCAATTAGAATTTTCAACCTCATGTCTATACACACATACACACAAATTGTTTCACTGCAATTGGAATAACCTGTCAATGTTTTGTGTTTTATCCATTTCAGGGTCAATTGAGTGCATTCTATTCAACTACTATGGAACGTTATATAACACTTACTGTCCCATTGATTTCGGATGTGAATTCACTTGACACTGTAACACCATATAGTGGATTAAAACAAGTCTTTCCTTCACCTCGTCCAATGGAACATTCTGTTTTTGTTCTGGCTAATAATGCTTTACATGCTTATACAAAAATGGGTAGACCTTTAGCTTCTGCTGTGTAAGTTCAACAATAAAATTTATATATATATACAATCAATATATTTTGATGATTTATTAATTTCTTAATCAAAATATTTTTGAATTCCAGTAACACATAAGAAGTTCAGAATGCACCATATTTAATTTAAGGCTCAAACAAACAAGTAATATAATTTGCTCTCATCTAAAAAAAATGAGCGTGCAAATTTATGGAGTACATAAATCCCTCTTTTTTAATTACAGAGTTGAACTAAATTTTTTTGATCTCTGGTTTGTTTTATCTTACATTTCCTTTGCATTTTCAAAAAAGCCTTATTTGGTCAGTGAAACGTTCGTTAGGAGTTCACTGATTGCTAAGTTCATGGTATTCATACTTGGAGCACTTGAAGCGCCCAACACCAAACAGTTCTTTCATATTTATTATCCAAAAGTCAAAGCAAGTGTTCGAATCTCTATCAATCTGGTCTAATCCACTGAAATCATTACAAAACATGAAACTTGAATTATAACATACAATAAGTGTACTGTGCTTTTAATGGTTAAAGTGAGGATGTCACCTCCCGTATTAGAGAGGGATACTTTCGCTTGAAGTGCCTAGAGAAGAAACTGTATTAAAACTAGTAGTCTTGAAAACTTAGGAGCGTAACCGTACAACCCGAAGGGCTCACTGTTTTGGTCTGGTCACAAGTTTTTTGTGAATAGTTTTAAATGTATTAACTCCGTGTTTTTAGATAGGGTTTTGCTAACGGAGACGAAAATCTATGAAGCAAGGTGAAGTGTGCTATTTCTACAACTGAACTTTGCTAGTGAGACAGCATCTTTGCACATATTGATTATCTCACTGGAAAACAAACACCAGTACAATCAACAGTTGGACATTGTTGTTGGACCATGTGTTTAGGTGTTTGCAATTGTGTCATTCTCTAACCAACTTGATTGGATATGATTAGAATTTAACGAAACAAATGTTTATACATACATTAGGATCTTCGCTTGTATTACAATGACGTCATATCCACTTATAGTTTATACTTAACAATAAGAGTCTGTCACTGATTACTATATCATAAATTAATAACAATTAGTAGTAGTTACCTCCTATTTAATAAATTTGTCTTAGTCACATAATGATGGGATATTTTTCAAAATATTTTTTATACTCATCATCATTGTTTTCTCTATATTCCCATTTCAAATTCAGGGCAATATTCCTCATCTTTGAATTCTCAGCATTTGTAGATATCAATGCTGCAATTAGTAATAAAGCCTTTTAAACAAACTATAACAAGTGTGGGGTGGCATTGAGTTTTTTATTGGATCAGCCGAAATCAAACGACTGCATCTTTCACCATATTAATAAGGGATTTCAATGTTTCCCCACCGTTTGAATCGTGTGTTTAAAACGAATGGAAGATTAGTCAATGCTTTGTTATGTGAGTGCGTATTTGCTTACTACTACTTACTGGGTTTTCATTGCTAAAAACACAATAATCGATATTTATCAACTGGATAAACTGCTACATATCAATAATGTACAATACATTTTTGGTATATATATTCATATACCTTTGAACGAGGATGTTAATAATGTTAATAATAATGATAATGATTTCTGTTTTCTTTTTAGGCATAAATTTATGCTTGAATTAGAATGCTTAACTGTAACTGGTCCCACAGGGACACTAATGAGTGGTTCTGGTTTAAGAGGAGCCGGTAGTGGGATGGGGAATTTTACACGATTCTTTTTGGGTGGTCTACAACCATCGGTATTAGAAGTAGATGCTGTAGAACGTTGGGGTGAAGTGATCAATACAATCGATGTTGGGATTGGTGGATCTGTAGTGCTTCGACCATTTAGTGGTGGTTTATGCGCTGGGAATACAAACGGAAAAGTAAGTTAGTTCTCTTTCCCCTATCTATGTACTTATGATGATTTTATTTTATTAACAAGTTAACTACCATAAATAATCTCAGATTTAAAATAATAAAAATTTCATATCAGATACTTTTTCTCTCTCTCTTTCTCACTCTGTCTGCAGGTTATGATAATCGATTCACGTACCAGTCATGGTATTGTTCGTGAATTAGATGCGCATACTGGTGAAATCTCTGATATGACAGTTGATGCCAATAGTCATACGCTAGTCACTTGTGGATGGTCACGTGTCGGTGATTCTGGATTACGTGTGGACCGTTTGTTAAGAGTATGCTCTTCATTTTAGTTATAGATTTGACATTTTTAATTGATTTTATTTTATTTTCTGTGAATAAATGTAACCCCAATGAATTGTCATTAATTATATTTCAAACAATTTGATTGGAAGTTTTTCATTGATTATCTACTGATACGAAACTAAAACGTTTATGCTACCAGAGAAGACTGAGTTTTAACAATCAGTGTGTGCGTGGATTATGATCACAACTTGGTTAGTATTCACATATTGAACTTTACCTCTATGCTAGAAAGTGTTTGACATGGAAGTTAGCAAGAGTTGACACAAGGTTCAAAATTTCGAAGGCATATTTTGAGGAGACCAGCAATAAAAGTTCGTTAGCTTCAATTGTCATTGCTGTTTACATCTGAAAGAGGTAGAAATATGTTGGTAAAACTTCATAGCGGTCAAGATGTGTAATATGTTATCTTACAAGTTCAACCCTTGCTAACTTTTCCTTTCATCTGGAATTGGACGACATGTGTATTTAATAAACTCTTTAATCTGGAGAGATTTTCAAAGTTGAAACATATCATCACACTGTGAAATTCTTATCCTTTGATCAAAACCATATGTGAGGTTGAAATTATAGCCTTTGAAACCCTGCTATATAGTTTTTTTTCCATTTGTAAAGGTTTTTATTTCCTCATTATTACTGCTTTTGCCCTTTGATTAGTCAATTTTTATTGTCATATGTGCATCCTAAGCATTCTGCCTCTATATTACTAATCAGTCACAATTTAAACAATGACTAGTAACAGCAGAGTCCAGGACACTCGTTTCATCCAATGACGTACTGAGTTCAAGTTTCAAGGTTTAAATAAACAATAGTGCAATGCAGGTGCCTACAGCTAATACTGCGACAAAATATGCGTTCTAATTTCTACTGGTAACCACTATCCAAAGTCTTAATCAATGGTTTTTCATTGCCTCAATTACTGTCCTTCAAATTTATTGACTAACAGACAGAAATAATCTATTGTCTTTCCATTTGATAACTAGTACTGTGTGTGGCTCTGTATAATTATTGACTACACTGCATTATCTTAAACACTCATCTACAAATCTAGGTATATGATCTTCGATCGGGTCGTGCACAAGTTCCACTATCCTCATCATTAGATCCATGTTTTGTTCGATTTATACCTGGTTGCAGTGATAGTTTATTGGCTACTTCACAAATTGGTACTTTTCAAACGATACAATGGGGTAAAATTGCCTTCTCCCCTAATGATTTAGGTCAACTATGGTTAGGTTATGATCGACTAGTTGCTACAGACCTATCACAAAAGTAAGTTTCTATTCTTATCAGTGTTTTTTTTCCGTTTAAAAAATTGTTTACTTTGTGTGATGCTACTATCAAATAAGATGATTTGTCATGTCAGTCTAAAAAAAACACAATAACATTGTTATGTATAAATAGAGAAGTTTGTGAATCAAAGATATTACATGAGCAGTATTTACTGCTGGCGAAAGGTAACCATTAACATTCCTTGGTGAGAGTGCATGTACCTACTATGTGTATGTCATGAAGTGCTTGGACGAAAGTTTATGTACCAATGATGAGTTATGATAGTCTGTGGTAGCAAATACATTTGATGAAGCAGTCACTCTACGATCCCAAGTTGTGAATATATCTATCTGTGTATACCAAAGGATGTATGAGTGATAACCTGTATTATTGGTGTGGATGTAACGTACATCAGTTCCTAGGGTAGGTGTGCTTATATGTATGACACAAGATACATTCTATGGAAACTTATATTTCTGAAGTGCATGTAACATATGAATATCAGGAATATCCTAAAGGACGAGTGCATACTATTGGTCAAGAAACGGATTCATATTGTAAGGAAGTGGAATAAATATCGTTTTTTTATATATTCTTCGGTAGCTAAATAGGCTTTCTTTTCTACTCTTAGCTTCTCGCTCAAGTGGCCAGTTAGTGGTTTGTAGTTAGAGGGGGGCGGGCGTTAGCATGTATTGCGACCAGATCTCGGATTACCGCACATAATCATATTTGCATAACTTCGGCCAATATGTTAAAGACAGAATTCTGTTAATATCGATGCGGTAACGAAGCTAGAACATACCTTTTCATTGGTTTTTCGATTTTTCTCCTTCGGTTTATTTATGTATATGTATATATATGTATATGTATATTTTTTTAGTGGAAATTGTGTGGTTTTTGCCACTGAAGCAGGACAATTACATTTATATATTCATGATATCAATGTATGCCAATTTAATACAACACCATTACCGACAGAATTTGCTTCACCATATGCAGAAAGTTTATGGCCAACAAATACCATACCATTGAATTATGCATCAACAGCCACATCCTCAGCAGAAGCAGCCGCGGCAGCTGCATCCTTCATGATTTACAATGACCCAACAAATGCTGCATTATATGGTAATAATTTAACTGGAATTGGTAAAACTGCTGCTGAATCAATCGGTTTACAAATGTTGTCAGCTTCATTGCATCAATCAACAGAAAATTTATCGAATCCCGATTTTCTCAATCTTGTTGAATGTCGTAAAATGGAAGCAGCCAATGAAGCTATGCTTACAGCTTATAAACCAATTGACTATGATAATTATCGATTTTCACTAGCCAGTATACCATTTGCTGCTTATCCACCGGCCGTATTCAATTTAACCAATCATCATCATCATACAATGATGGATTTGAATGATGCAAATTTCTTATGGAAAACTAAATACGATACAATGTGTACATCAGATTGGCCGGAAGATTTAAATGAATCACAACACAAGTAAATTATAATGTTCACTTATTAAATTTGTTTTTTTTCCATTTTGGTTTATTGACAGTTTTTAATATGAATTCTTAATTCTCTGGTCGTAAAACAAATCAGTACTCAAAAATGCATACTACTCTGCTAATTTTTAATAAGAATTCTATTGGGAACGTGGGAAAGAAGCAAATATCAGACATAAAGAAGGCGGAACAACAGAGGAGAACGTGGAAACCTTTTGCAGTGGGGGACCTAGTAAAGTGTAGAGAGCAAAAAAGTAGCATAGCAGGGGGATCAGGGTGGGGAAAGCTGATCCCAAAATGGGAAGGACCGTACGTTATCACGGAGAGACGCGGCGCGGTGTACACGATCCGGAGAGAAGACAAGCAGAAGCGTGTAAATGCCAGTCAACTGCAGAGGTGGTTTCAAGATTATCAAGTGTGTGAGTCACGGAAAGCACCAAAGAAGACAGCGGTACGGCGATCAGAAAGACTATGACGACAGCTTATTAAAAGGGGGGACGAGTGTTGTGCGCGCTACTTATAAGTAGTATATGACGCGAGTAAAAACGTAATGTCTAGCAGCAGAAGATGGGGGAAGATCAAGAAAGGAAGAGCGGGGACACAATGGGATTTGTATGAAACGCATGAATAGTGAAACGTCAGACAATGGATTGATGTTTTGGCAACAGGAACAGTCAAGTTCGATATGATGGATTGATATTTTGCAAATTAACGATTTACGATATGGTTTTCCTATTTTACCAATTAACTCTGTAATTTTCGTTAAATACAATTCGGTTGCCCTCACCTGTGTTCTCCTTCACTACATTTGTGTATTCAGCCGGGATTCAACCAATCAGCATATAATGATGCTTCCAAGTTTCTGATGATGATGATGATGATGGTCTAACAATGATTTATTGACGATTGTAATTTTTCTTTTAAAGTTGAAAACAAGTTTCAATGTGCAGATTTAATTATTGTTTTTTTCACTAGACATTCATTCAATAACTATTACTTAATATTTATCAAGATTGTAAGAGATTATATTCACAGTTTTTAAACAGTATATTTTTAAGCAGAAAAAAGAAATGCTAAAAAGCAGTTCAACAAAATAACATTTTTTTTTCTCAACGATGATAAAATCACGATAAACACATTGATATCACAGCTTGAATTAATTGTGATCTCTATGGTAGCTCCAAACTATGCAGAAATTTCTAATTTGAACAATCTTTAATGCCCTTTTTTTTAAAAAAATTTAAACACAACTCGGCATCTGTATATTTATATGTCACATAAATGATTGAATTTGTTATTTATGTGCAAAGATTAGTGTTACTAATAGCTGACTGCCTAAATAAAAATAGGTGTAACAGTGTTTCGAATCCTGGGACTTATTGATAACCATACGCCTGACTATATATACCAAGTAAACCATTCATCGATTGGTGTTCTCGAATAGATTTGTATTCGTTCCACCTTTTTCATGCATCAGTGTTTTTCAAAGCAATCGTTAGTTTATCCGTCATCAGTGATGCTTGATTTCTTAATTGTCTTTTATACTCTTTTGTATAGAGTAATGAACGAAGTTGATCCTGATCTTTTGAATAATGCTAATAGAAAACGAGCTGTACGTAAACCACCTCAATGGGGCACTGTATGGCATCCATATCCCACGGATGACATGACAATAAGCTCATCTAATGCGCAAAATAATGTTGATAATCGTTCAAGTCCATTGCAATTCGGTCGTTTCGAACATGTCACAGAGAAAGTGACATCGACAACAAACAACACCACAACAACTGCATCATCCTCATCGACGATAGTTGCCAACAGTAAAATTCCTACATCCGTATAAATCACGTCATCGTCATCATTAATAACATGCATTTCAGTTATTTGTTTCTGTTGTTGTCACTTGACATTGATTTTTTGTGTGAAACAAGTCTACATAAATAATTTGTAATTCACACCAGGACCATTTTTTATCGGTGCTGTGTATAGTTTTATTTCTTATTCATCTTTTAATATAGACACATACATGTTTTTGATTTTGCAAATAAAACAACAACACAACGCATTTTGTTCATCTACACCAAGCTATCATCATACACAGTCGGTTTTATTTGTTTTTTTATTCACTATGCTTTACGTACTACTGAATAGTTTTGTTAGTAGTTTAAATAACGATGTACAAATGTTTAGATTTTCCCCAAGTTCTGTGGTCATGTTGAAGTCCACGTTTACTTTATTCTGTTGCCTTTTTGTTCCTCTTCATATGTACTATATATAAAACAAATGAACAGATAGATGGGTTTTTTTCAAACTATAACATAACCTATCATTATGTGATTGCCTTTTTTTTAAAACAAATATTCCACTCCTGTTTTCCATTTTTTGACTGTTGTTTTTATAAACTGTTCATGAGTGAATAAATAAATAGACGACAATTTTTTTTTAGACAACTATTGTTTAAAATGTTTTAGAAAAAGAAGTTTTGGGCGAATATTTTTGTGCTTCTTGTCATCTGTTCATTTATTCATTGGTGATGTGTAAGAAAACGCATAGCCATAAATGTGTCTTGATCCAAGTTGTTACTACATTACAATAGAATTTTAGGACGAATATTGCAGTAACAAAAGTTTTAGCCTCAGCGGTAGTAACATTCAATCGAAGAGAAAAGAAATCGTTTTTTGGGATAAGACAGTCTGTAGGAATTCGAAGACTGATTGTGACTGATTCTGACTTATGTTATATAATCTCACCAACTTACCAGTTGTAATTATCATGCGGACCCCAACCGGCTAATCCACACATACTATAACAGTTACTGATTTCAAGAATTGGTGTTAGTTTCCTTTCGTTTTATTGTAACTTATCCTTATCTCAGCTACGGTCACACATCTATACAGTCGTTAGCTCTGGACCACTTCAGTCAATGAAGATTCATTTGACTCATCAATTGTTTAATTGTCTTAATTTAGTATCTTGATTCTACACTCAACATTAACTCAATAATCTAAATGCTTTGAAGACATCAATCAACTAATTCCGGTAACCTACGTATATCCTCTGCTTTTACAAGCCACATTCACAGTCATGCATAAAAGTGTGTGTCTTCATTGTCCTCTCATGAGATGAACAATATGTAAAACTGCAGCAGTATGGAGCTTGATCAAGTGGCTCAGTGGTACTAAAAGTGGGAGTTGGAACTTAACAATGTTGAATGTGGGTGGACTTGCTTTGATAATCATTTACTCAATCTAGACCAACCAATGAATCGTATGGCACTATTGAAATTTAATACAGTAGTAGATTTAGGACTGAAGTACTCGTATAATTTATTCTCGTCAAACCAGGTATCTAAGTAGACCTCCAAGTCTCAACATCTGTACTGCATAATCGCTACAACAAAGAATCACATATTCTAAAGTACAAACTATGCATTCGATCACTTCTACTATGCTTCACGCTTATTCTTCCTAGTGCTTGTATAAAGGAGAAATTAAGTCTGATATTCGTTCACAGAAAGCTTACACTTAGCATTCTTGGAAATGATTGTGCTTAAAATTATAAGTCCGAACATGACAAATTTGGACTCAATGCTTTATAGAAGAGGACGCGTAAAGTAAATCTGATCTTTTTCTTCAAACCACCTAATAAGATAGATATCTGTTACATTCAATGAAGCAGTTCAGTATGCATGGATTCTTAGTTTTAGCTTCCGTATCAGTTTGTCACTAATATTACAACTGAATTTAAAATTTTTTTTCGACATGAATTATTTTACCAGTAAATTTACGAAATGTTTAAATAACTTACCGAAATCTGTTTATGAAATAAAATCACTCGCATCCTTTATTCACTGCACTGATGCATTCTAATCCTCAGAAAATTTCTTAAGTTTCATAAGTGAGATTGGACGAACCATAAATGCTTAATCCTACTAATTAAACTCGTTACCAGCAGATAATTTAACACTGTCCTCCGTAAATATCGACTAATCTGAATTGTGTCTAAGTTGAACATGAAATCATAAATTAACCTTACACTTGAATAATGTTACATTTGATAAAGTTGACTGACTTATCATTGTAATTATTACTTTGATTATTTTCTTGTTCTGTTCCTGACTGATGCCTTGTATTACTGCAATTTCTATGAAAAATATACTGCCCAAAACATTTTTCGAACTAAAACACTTCAAACAATCTGACATGTCAAGTTGACCATCCCTGTTAACCGGCATAAAATATGTGATTGTTATTTACAGGATTCATTATTATTAATTATAGGCAATTTTTAAAATTTTTTTACAATTCAAATCGTTTGTGTAGTTCATTTTAAAGCGCTAAACTTTCGATGTATATGTATATTTGCCGTCCAAACATATCATCGTTGAAAGGCATATGGATATCACCGTAAACTAACCGACAAGTATGATCAACAGTAACTGATTTAAAACAAAGCTCGTCAGGTTTAGCACATAACTAACTGTTCAATAAAAATTGTCTGCTATCACAAACATAAATCTAATTCCTTGAATGGTTTTCTAAACTACATCTCTTCCACATTCCGCTAGGCATTAGAGCTACAGCAGCTTTAACACAAATTTGCTTATGTGTTCTAAGAAAAAACATCCTTCAAAAAAACTAATGATCTTATAAAACAATGCTAGTAAAAATACATTCATGTTGAACTTTGATGCTAAGTTAATTATTGTATAAATGATTAGATGATATTCTGTTGATATTTTGCATTAAATAACATTTAACAAGCATTCAGTAACCACCATTCAATCTCGACTTGTGGGGTTTCTAAAATGATCAACTTGTCTGAATATCTGGAAAAAGTACTTTGATTGTGTTAATAAAAGCTGATAGAGGTGTCTGGTGTGTAGATTAGCTCTAAAAGCACAAAAATATGAAACCTGTTGCGTTCAAACAAAGTTTCAAGGAATGCATAAAACTAGAAATATCAGCTATAATAGTTGGAAGAAAGTAATGTAAATTCTTTATTTGCGTTACATCTTTGTCTTAGAAACCATTCGTTATAGAACTGTTTACTGAATATTAACAAGTAATATGACATGATACAGCCTGCTACTCCTAATGGAGCATAGGCCACCTAACAGTATTCTCCAGCTTACTCTGTCCTTGGCCTTCCTTTCTAGTTCCGTCCAATTTTTGTTCATTCTTCTCATGTCTGTCTCCGTTTCTCGGCGTAATGTGTTCCTTGGCCTCCCTCTTTTTCTCTTTCCTTGAGGATTCCGAGGTGAGGGCTTGTCTTTTGAAGTAGTTGAGTGCTTTCCGCAGAGTTTCCCAGAGCTTCTTCCTGATTTCCTCTTCCACTGCAATCTGGTTGGTCCTCTTCCACAGTAGGTTGTTGCTGATGGTGTCTGGCCAACGGATCTGAAGTATTTTTCGTAGACGACTATTAAGGAATATTTATATCTTATGGATGACGTACGGCTTTTGTAGTCCTCCAAGTTTCCCTCTCATCCAGATGAACTGTCTTGACATTTGTACTGAAAATCCTGACTTTGGTGCTTATTGACAATGGTTTTGAGTTCTAGATATTTTTCAATGGTAAAAATGCAGCCCTTGCTTTCCCATATGAAGCGATACACAATAAAAACAGGTTGAAAAAGTATAGAATCAGGGCCTAACGAACTTAACACAGTGTGGTTGTGTAAACACCTAAATAAAAGAAAAATGGCAGTTCAATTTCATCACTGTTTACATTAGGCATTTGGTCGTCAGTCAGCTCATTGTTAGGACAAGATGACAAAAAAATGTTTATAATCATTCTTCCGAATGAGTTAGTCGTCATCAACATGCTACAACACTACACATTCGCGATTCTGTCCCCATACCTACATCATATTCATACAGAATTATCAAACTAATAAGTCAAATTACAGTCTATTACAATAAGTTCTCTCAAATCCTAATCTTCTGGATTCTTCAACACCTCTAGTTTTAACTTTCTAAACTGTTCTCGCTGAATCACATTTCTTGAATAATATCTTCTCATCCTAACCTCTCCGATTACTTCTTATACCTTAAATACCTCTTCTACTATTGGATTTGAATTGAAAATTATATCTCTGTGCTGATGTGGTATGGCAACACATGAACTGATGTACTTACGTACGAAGTTCTACGTTGCATCTGACTATCATAATGAGTATTAGTTTCACTGACAAAAGAAAATATCAGTGATGAACAAAACAAATATCTGTTGAGTTAATGGTATTTGACAGTGTATTTAAAATCAATCAGCTATTCATTTATGATTATAAAAATTCATTCATTCAAACAGCCAGAGTACTTAACAAATCAAATACTCAAGTCTGATTTTTCATGGTTAAAAAAACTGATTCGACCTCATAATGCAATAGATAGAAGCTGAAAATTGCGACTACGATGAAAACCTACAGTTAATTTTTCAATTCATCAAAGTGTCATAACACATTACACTGAGTATAATAGTACGAATTGAAAGTATAATGTTATTGCTGAAGGAAAGAGTTGGTGCTATGCACACAGTGCAAAACAATCTCTCGTTGTTCAATGAAATTCAAAATGGCTTTGATCATTTGCATAATGTTAGTAATAATTTTGTACACAATTCCTTTTTATGACATATTTTTGGTAGTTTTTACGAAACTACTTACAATATTATTAAATGATTGAAATATATTCACTTATTTATGGCTATTGATGTTACATTTATTGCCCTGAAAACGATCATTTATCAATTGCGCATTTTCTGTTCAATATTATTTTACTTGTAAATTATTAATTAGCTTTATTTTGTTTCAATATCAGTTGAGTAGCGAAGCGCCATGAACCAATAGTTCAATTTTATGAACAGTTATCAAATGATCGTGGTGCATTATTTATCGATTAGAAGACTATTTATTGATTAACTTACCAATCCACAAGAATTTCTCCTTCACAGCAGTAGTTTATGTGGATTGTCTGTAATGACCTATTGATCTGCCTGCGATGATATGAAATATGGTTGGATGAAAAGTCTCCCTACAAGAGTGAAAATGAGAGAAAGAATCACTAGGCCACTAAATACACTAATTTGCTTTGATATCGACTAATTGACCAAACTACTAAAGGCTTGTAGAATTTCATCCTCAACGTGATGTCAATTCTCTGTTTAGTGCAGTACAATCTACTTCAGAAACCGGATATCCAGATATTGATTTTAAACTATTTCTTCCAATAACATGAATAAATATTTCCCTGTAGTGCAGGTCTCTGAAAAGTAAATTTCTCTCAATGATTAATCAACGTCAAATGAAGATGTTGCAGTTGGAACATTCAACCCATGTATGTTACATGATGATGAATATGAAATAAAAACTGGACGAGCTAGTAATTAAAAAAATATACCAATGATCACGAATAAATCCCACATGTTCAAGATGACTTATGGAAATGGCAAATTTTAAACAGTGAAATCCGTTAAGATTCATACGGTCAACATGAAATGGAGACTGGACTAGTTGTTTGTAACATTATTTATCACCACAGAAGGAAGTATGCAATATTTTCTTGTTAAAGTACTTACAAACTAATCTTTCCGTGTAATACCGAGCATAAATTGCATCTGTATTAGGACCAACACACGTATACACTGAATCACCAAATTAAACAACCAATCAATCGAATTAATAAATGTTTTGGCATCTTGTGGTTCACTGATTGGTTGATTGTTTTGATTGGTCACCTTATTAATAATCAACTTCTGGTTGGCTTTTTTTCACTCGATCTAAATAAATTTAATTTGTTGAATATATGAAAATAAATCATTTGAATGTTGAAGTGGATTTGATTAACACAGTATTTTGATTAAGTTGACAATTGAACTAGTGTTATGTTCTATTGTGAATATGCTTAATATGCATAAAATTTATCCATGGTTTATCTTAATTACTGCTGCATTATGTGTGATATTTTTGGGTGGGAAACGGAGAGCATTTGGAATATTTGTCGCAAAACTACACTCAGAATATAATCAGACAAGTTTAGCTGAATTGAATTGGATTGGTGATTCATATGCTGCACTGGGTTATTTGAGTACAACGTTGACTACATCAATGATCATATCAACTGGTCGACGATATGCTTTGTCACAATTTTTCGGTGCATGTTTTGTTCTGTTAGCTTGTGTCACTAGTGCATTTGTGCCAAATCCACATTGGTTATTCCTGACACATACATTATTGCATGGAATTGGTTCGTCTTTAGTTTTAAGTACATCTGGTCTGGTGGTTAATGAACACTTTGATAAAAATCATCGTTATCATATATTAGCAACAACACTGGTGTCTGGTGGATCAGTTGCTTCAATATTATTTGTGGAATTATACGCTTTATTAATTGATACTCAAGGTTGGAGATTAGCATTTGTTATACTTGGTATAATCTACTTTATCACGCTGCTTCTTGGTGCTTTTGTATTTCGTAAAGATGTCACAAAATCCAATTCATATCAAAATAACAAAACTGATGGATGGAATCTTTTGCAAATGTGTTGGCAACAGAAATTACTTTTAATTCTATGGACAATGGATAGAATTATCACAAGTATTGTAACATATGGTATGTTATTGAATTTAGCTGACTACATGTTTCAGCATGAATCATTATTACAAAATAGTGTATTATTGACAAATTTATTCGCAGCTGGTGAAGCAACAACTTATCTAATTGGTGCCACTTTAACTGCATTAACTAGAGATTTTTTTAAAAATCGTTTGAAATACATTTTAATGAGTACAAGTATTGGAATGTCGATTGGATTAATAACATGGGAATTTTTAACATTCAATCATACAATCAGTTCAATGTTATCGTATGTTAGTGGATTTTGTTTAGGACCGTCTGTTACATTTCTATTTCCTGCCGGTGAAGAAATGACACTTCTACCAGGTCATTTAGCTTATCCATTTTCTTTAGGTGGAATGGGTGTGGGTATGGCATTGTCTCCGTTACTTTCAGCATTTATTGCGCAGACATTTAAATATCGTTGGTTTTTTCTAGTTCAAGGTTTAATTGTGATTATTAAAAGTGTATGTTTAATATGTTCGTGGATAATATTGAAACAATTAACCAAATCACAAACAAAATTGTTAGTCAATGAACAACAAACTATAATACGTAATAATCATAATTCAGATTCAATAAATAACGATGCAACAGTCAATTACGACCGAGTGGAAGAAGACGAAAGAGAGGACCATGACGATCAATCTTCAACATTCTGTAGTGAAACCCAATGTTTGATTAGTCCAGTCACTTCAAAACGATCTATTTGCAAAACGATCTGATTTATTCTTATAACGATTTATTTATCTATTTATTTTATTTTTGTGCATATTTATGTTGTTGGTAATTAGATATCTTGATGAAATAGACTACTTATAATGATAAGTAGTATTGTGATTTGAGATAGATTTTGAGTTAAATCGATTACAGAGGCATAACTAATGAAATCCAACATCCACTATTCAAGTAAATAAGTGTGAATGTTTCACGCCACTTTTGCATAACACATTCATAGTTCCGATCATTTGTTATTATTGATTCATAGAGTTTAGTTTGTTGAAGCTTGACGACGTCAACTGGATTCTTTTTTCTCATTGAACATCAAGTGTTCGCTATTGGGATGTGACAGCCATCTTTTTCCCAGTGAGGACGGGCAACGTTACTTATTTCTTCTGGTTAGCTTTTTTTTGGCAAGTTAATTTTAGTTGGGATAGGGGCGTCAATTTCATACCCAACCACTCCTCCTTTATCCGGGCTTGGGACCGGCAATAGCCCCGAATGGTCTACAGGCGGAGTTAGAACGGGAAACGTCATCAAAACGAAATGTCTCGGAAATACAACTATGTTACATTTGAAATCGTTTGGAATATTTTCCGATTCTACTTAGTAGACATCTAATCTGTTTTATAGATAATCTGCGAATAGAGTATGCAGTTAAAAGAGAGAAATGAAGTCAAGTAAAACATGAGTGAGGAAATGAAAATGATAAATTATGATGACAGATATGTATTCCAAGTAAAAGAATGCAACTGTGAATAATTTCTCAGAGATAAGAGAGTTCTTCTTACTTTGATGCGCTATGTGAAAGAAAACTGTAGAAAGATTCCCATTAACTTTTAATTTCAGTCATTTCTGTGAACATTTGAAGTTAGTGAGCTTCACCATTTCTAGGACAGCAATCAGATAGTTGTGATGCACTGATGATTGTTAATCCCAATAGGCTGTTCTTTCATACTATGAGATCATGACATAAACTAACCATCTATACGATAATCTGAAGTTGTTAAGATGAAATTCATTGAACATGACAAAGGCATAGAAACATGACTCAGAGGTTCATAAACGTTAAAGTTAGCAGCAGTCAATGATCGACACATCATGATTTATTATGATTATTTACTGGTTGTATTGAATAATAAAAAGAAATTTTCTATACATCAATATGTTCCACTTGATATTCCACTCAGAAACGTTAATTCAAGTACTTTTGAATACAAACAAACCACTATAAACCTGGTAAATTATGCTGAACTTTCTTTCTGAAAAATAACTATTATCATGTTGATGAAGTCTCATTTACCGAATAGTTTCTTTCTAGTGTGTATTCAATAATTAACATGTTACACAAATCGTAAGCTTGTAATTATTACACTGATGAACGCATCATTCTGCTACACCATATTCACTGTTTGATGTTTGATAGTAGATGAGAAACTTTCTCATCTTCAATAATACGTTTGATGTCATTTCGCAATATGCTACAGTGTAAAGTCACTCAACTGAATGTTTCCATTCGATTTTTCTGACAAATTCTGAATTTGTATATCTGAACACATTTACATCCTATGTGAAATATTAGTTTTTGATAAGTCGAGTAGTAGTTCAGTACTAACACTGATATGCACACTTTGTATATGCGATACCAACGACCTAATTGGATGAGTAGAAAAGTAAATAGAAGTTGCCACTGGTCGAGTTGATTCCAATTAGGAATGAGATAAATAATGGCTATAGATGATGATGACTCGGGAATATGTAACTACGATAGGAAACAATGACTATAGAGAATAGCAGCTATACCGTATAAAATACCATCGTCATTGTTGGCCTTGTCACTGAGTCTGAAGATCTTGAGTTCAATCTCTTAGATACTATGGATTACCATTACTATGAATTATGTAACCATCATGAAACAACCTTCCTATGGCTTATTCATTTTCAATGACATTTTTGTTATGATCAGATTGTGACATGAATTATAAAAGTGAGCGAGGATGAGTTGGTAAATTTCTCTTTCATCAAAATGTTTACATTTAAAACTAGTCCAATATCGTAGAAGCTTAACTCTGTGAAAATTAATCTGTTCAGTAATATTTTTTGTCACGTTAATTACAATGTAATAAAAATAGATTGAAATTAACACAAAAAACCTGTCCGAATGACCAATTAGACAGTAATATCACATTCGTCAAGCATAACAAATATAGGTCAAGTACATTGCCACCTGATAATAATCCCTTTTAATTATGATTTAAAATAAACCAATAATCGGTCAAATGTTTCAATTCTATTCCCGATTCAACAATATTGAAATAACTCTCAATTCATTATAATTTTGATTATATAACTGACAAGTAGGTGAACTGTGAACGATGACACTTTGGGGTGAGCTAAGTGATACGAATTTTGACAGTTGTGGTTTTGATAATGTGTATATCTCATTTAGGACATTTCAATATAGATGAAAATCAACTTGATAGCTATTTGACTACTTACTCTAAACTGTCCATAATATTGAGTCAAGCGGTTTTCATGCAAATATCATGAGGAATTGTGAACTACACCGAAACTCTCTAACTAGCTGTGATTGATTTTCAATAGTCCTTTAACTAATGTGATTTAGTTGTGTTTCGATGTAGTTAGCCTAGCGAATGAGATGTGATCCATTTTATGTTTCCTATGGAAATGGAACCTGTGTCAACCTAGATACAATCTGTGATGTTGCTACTAACCTAATTGAGTTGCAGATGACTTGCTGTAGATGGTCGGGTAGTGACACTGTTCATTACTCAATCAACAGTAGAAGTACAGTGTTTAGGAGTCGAGATTTGGAATAAAACAGCTGCACATTGACTCCTGAATGGTAAATGTCCTTCGACTGAATTATCAGTTTATAATCAATAGAATATTACATTCATATTGCAATAAAGCAGTAATGAATATGATCTACTTATCTTATCGATTTTAATTATTACTACTCATACTATTTAAGTAGTGAACTGTTCAACTTTCAAAAACATGCACATAAAATAATTTATGATTGAATATTGTGTCGCGAATACATGAAAAGTGGTGATATGTAATGATTGTTTGTTTAATTTTCACATGTACACGCATCAATAAAATTCAGTCTGACTAATTAACCTAATTACTTATGCATTCATTCAATTATTCTGTTATGTTATATTTCAACATGCTGAATGTAGGCAAGTTGAAACAAGTTCATGTCAAACACTCTATTCACTGTATCTTGTGTTTTTGAAATTAGAATAATATTCAAGCTCACTGTTTATGGAGCTAGATCTGCTGTTCATATTGATTAATTTACAGCCTTAAAGCAGAATACAATCAAGTCATGAGGTCAGTAGGAATAACCCATAAAACAAATCGTTATGAATTTGAGCAATGAAATTTTCGATAAATGAAGGCCACATTTGTATGGAATAAAAGGAAAGACAAACAGAAGAGTTCAATCTCCGTTAGATGTAAACAAAGTGAAGGAAAATTCATTCATCTAAACACAAATCGAAAATTCGAAAGCAACACATGATATCTTATATGATTTAATCAATAAACAGTTGAGAAAAGTTGCTTAACTTTTTTGGTATTGGTAACAGTTTGTAGATGTACCTGTATGCTGGTGTTGATATTCACATTAAAAACCGATCCAGGTACTTTTCGACTCAGAGGTTAATGAGTTATCTATTAAAAGTTATAGTAAACATCAACTTGTTCAACAAATGTGACCCATAATATTGATCATCAAAGTTAATTCATTTATAATTGGCAGTTCCAATCTTCCCATTGAGAATTAGGACTGCAAATGATCAGTTTCATTTGACATATGTGCATCGTGTGAGGTTTGCTTCGATATTGTTTGGCTTTTCGAGCCACCCAAGCTAAGTAGTCTGTACCTGCCTACTGGAGAGAGTTCAGCAGTTCACGACTTCACTAACGGTTGAATTATCTTAGTTTAGTCATTGAAAGTAAATGCTTGCCCACATTATCAACCGATTTACAAATTCTACACACTACTTTGTTTCCAGTCTCATAACTGCTTATTCACTGATCTCAACAATCGAGAGCTTTGCTTAGAGAGCAAATGTGATGAAGTACTATTGACCTATAGATATTATCGATTTTCATAGATCACGTTTCAAAGTTAGTATGTGGAAGAGAACAAACTGGTGAGCAGTGTACTCTTACTTTGCCCTAATAGGGTTGTGAGGATTACTGAGTTTCATTGAAATCATGGATCGATCATTGTTAGATCACCATTAGAAATCTGGAACAACTGGACAGCCATTTTGTCCTAGTATTGGATTCATCGGCAGTGCGCATCCACAACCGTGCAGGCGGGAATAGAACCTAGGACCTTCGGCCTCGCGATCAAACACTTAAAACTTTGACCATTGAGTCAGCACCCAGCGGTAAAATGTTTAACCCCAACCAATCCACCACATTGCTGAACCTCATCCATTCTGTTTGGTGAGTCACTAACTGCCTCACATCTGATACATGTGATCTCACTAGAACTCCGAGCATCCTTTCACACGACGCTAGTCACTAGCGAATATATGATAGTTGTCATTATATGGTTATGGAGACGTTTAAGTTTATCTGATCGATTACTGATTTCAATGAAACTGAACAATTGACTACTTCTCTCTTGAAATCAGATTATTTTTTCTGAATATATTCATTCATTACAGTGAAAATCACATTTTTCAGTTTATTTCTTTTGGTATAAATCTATCAGTGGTTATATTTGAATATTTCTTCATAAATTTAAAAACATTTGTATACAGATTTTGTGAAAGATTGACTAAATCACTGTGTAAACTGGTGATTTAGGGATTAGTCAGTTGTAATCCTAAACTTTTGCTGAGTTCACTGACTCAGTTAATGACACATTACTTGCTACTGTTCAGTGTACTGATATTCATATGATTGAACTGATATCTAATATTGAATCAAACAACATAAAATAAATTTATATTGAACTGGTTCAGTATAGAATTTTCATTAGAAAGAGTAAATATATTTTGTACGATCCTGTTTTCACTAACATTTCATTTTCTCACTGTCCAACTTAGATTTGATCA